AAAACTAGAGTGACGACGAGTGGCGATAACCACCACCATCCTCATGATAAACACTTGCTCAGCAGTTTCCTGCCAATCGTCTTCTTTTTTTCTTTTTCTGTTTGATCAGACGTTTTTGTTTTTTTATTTTTAAAAAAGATAAAACAAACTGACACTTGGTGTTGTGCAAAGATTTTTTGGGACAGACGCAAATTGGGGGGTTTTTTTTTTGGAAAAACAATTTATTTTTTTGACAGATGAGGAAATGTGAGTGATGTTTGGTATGATATGGTTCTGAAGACGTGTTAATAACTAACAAAAGATACCTTTTTTTTTAAATTTGTATTGATATAATGTGGTGTCTTTATTTTATAAATATTTTAATTGGAATCAAAACATGGGCAGAACTTGTTGGGTAATTATAAGATTCTTATCAAGATGGTAACAAATGAACAATTGGTATTTTGCTTTGCGTAATCGTTATTAATATTATTAATTATTATTCACAAATATTAATTTTAGAACGACATAATTGATAATAAATATATTATTCAAAAATAATGTAATATATACAATAAAAATACAAAAATTATTATTGGGATCATTTATACATTACTAAAAATAGTAAAGAGATCTCTCAAAGATTTACAAAAATCATGTGAACCAACTTATCGAGAGTCATTTATTATTATCTGGCTGGAGGAGTTGTCCGACTTACAGCTTAACAAGAGTTTATATGTGTATCTGACTTATCAAGAGATTTTTAAATATAAAAAAAAAGGGCTGGAAATTTTTGCCTGAGTTAAGCCAAATCCGACTTATCGAGTTTGCCTACATATATAATTACATGTCAAGGCAGCACACCGTTGAAAAAGAAACAATTCAATTATGCAATGTTTGATTATTGGAAATTTTACAGATGTTGAAGCACACGCGCTACCTTGAACACTTTACTGTCATTCTCTTATCTTCCTTATGCACACAAGGCTAATCTGATCATGGCTCTCCTGAGATATGATGATGCAACAGAATTCCAGGGGGAATGTACGGCTCTGGAGTTTACCGAGACTGCATCAATTGTCAACGATGTTTTCACTAATCTTCCCTCACAGCACCCAGACCAGAGAAGGCTGCTAGCATGCTTGACAAAAAGTTACCTGCAACAATCCTACCTCTAGGGTAAGGATGGCTCTGCAACCAAGTCGCAACTCTGTTGATGAATTGTAGTTCCATGTAAACATCCAGATCCATCAAAGCAACAAGAATTCGCAACTCATTGCAATTCAATGTGGACCCTAAAATTGCATTTGGGCTCTGATATTAGGAGGAAAGCTGTAAAATAAAATGGTTCGGATTTTGTTTGGTATAATTATCCCTACAAAAATTTTTGTCAGAAAATGTATGGTTTGTCCATACATTTTCCGCATATTCTGTATGGAACATGTACAGAATTATACATCAAAAGAGCCAAAAATGTATGGAAAATACATGAAATTTTCGGAAAATGACCTGAAAAATTACATTCCGTACATTTTCCTGTGCATTTTCCAATTTAAATTGCACGTTTTTAATATTAATATTAATACAAATTCTTTATTTGAATTATTCATTTTATTCGTTTATTCGAATTATTCGTTTTATTCGTTCTATTCGTTCTACTGGTTTTATTGGTTTATTTAAATTATTTAAATTATTGGTTTTATTCATTTATTTGAATTATTGGTTTTATTCATTTATTTGAATTATTGGTTTTATTCGAATTATTCGTTTTATTGGTTTTATTCATTTTATTCGTTTATTTGAATTATTATTATTATTATTATTGGTTTTATTAATAATATTATTATTTTATTCGAATTATTCGTATTATTCGTTTTATCAGTCGTGGGACATGTCACAAAAATTTATTTTTACTGAAAAAACATTAGTATTAGCATTATAGTATCGACAATTTTCGTAATGTTACACATATGAATTTACATTTGACCCCCAGAAATTAAGCAATGTCTTTTGACTAATTAGTGTTGCGTAACGATCTTCAAGCCAATAAAATTTAATTTTTGCGTGATATCTGGAAGGGAGATCGTCACAAAATTTAGCCAATGAAATCAAATGTCCACTATGCTTCAATCACCACATTGTTAAAAAGCTTGTGTTAGATTCAATAATAATTAACTTCAGAAAAAAATAAACGAAGCAAAACAATTATAATAATGGATGATATATGTTATCAAATGCTACAGAATAGAAAAAACAAAACATCTATCTATTTAAAAAAAGTATTACGTTTATCTAGTGATGATTAATTATATCCAGACATTAAAAACAATGGTACCATTATTTGTATTTTTACTAAAAATATAAATATCTAAGCAAGTTTTTCCTAACTCTTTCGAATATATTAAAATTATTGATTATAATGCTAAGATTGCCTCTTTGAGTTCATTGTACTGACATTCTTCAGCAAGTTTTAAAATATTATCCCAGGGTTCATTTGAAAATTTGGAAGCCCAAAAAGTTTTGATATCAATTAGATTATAAAGATTAACTGTATCATGTTTTGTTTTGTTCATCAATAAATAAATACTACGAATTAAAATGTGTAAGTCATCTTGTGGACGAAATTCTACAAGAGTATCCCATCTTTCCAAAATATATTGTGACACATATAGAGGATGGGCACCTTTATAAATAGCAGGTTGATCATTAGACAATATGCTGTAACCAAAATCAGATAAGATAAACTTCAATTCATTAGACTCATCAATGTAGTAAAGTATGTTTGATGGATGGCAATCCCGATGAAGAACACCTTTTTCATGAATACTTTTTAAAACATCTATAATTATAGCAAGTTGTTTGGGGTGAAAATTTATTAATTCTTTGGAAATAACTGAATCAATACACCGTGGATAAAGTAAAAGACAAGTAGTTGAGTGTTTCTCAAGCTGTATGATGTTAGGTGTTCCTTTCAAAATATTCATAATTTTGATTTCGTTTTGCAATATGTGAGTCTCCCTTATGATTTTGACCACTTGATTTGGGTATTCCTTGACTGTATATACACTTGCAGTGCTGCCATGGCATAATATTGTATTAACTGTTACCCCATCTATCTGAACCAGTGGATGGTATGTGTTATGTGTTAGCAGAGCTCGAAGAAGACGATTACCTTCACCATTAGGTTGGTTTAAGTGCAAGTGATTGGTATAATCAACCATATATGGAAGACCAGTGGTTGCGTTATCTGTTTTATAAATTTGAATAAACATCACCTCATGACAATCAGTAAGGAATAGTGTAACGTTCCTTCGATGTTGTGCTTTTAATAATTTCAACCCATACTTTAGCATTTGTCCTTTGTGAGGATTCTGAAAGCAGTATAATTCTGACTTTCTTGGTTTTATATCTCCAACACAGTCCACTGAATATATATTCAGAACATAATTTAATGTTACAACTGATATATCAGGTGCCGACCCTTCAAGATACATTTGATTATGAGTATCAACAATCTGTGTAATACCGTTTTCTCCTATTTGACTTGAAATATTTCTCATAAAATATTTTTGATAAGTGACTTCATCGTAGGAATTTGGCGGATTATCAAATGTCAAACCTTCATCATCTGGTATAAACCACGGATTTACAGGTTCTTGCATATCTGGAACATAGAGGGACCATCGTTCAGAGTCACTAGCAACTGATGATGTTAACAACAATGCGTCTTCGAGCTTATGTCGTTTGTTCCTTTCTGCCTCAAGTTCCCCACTTGCATCTTGTTAATAAGAAGGGAAATATCATGATTGATGCCAAGTTTTCATCATAGGAATAAAAAAAGGAATTTTGGTTAGTTAAAGTTCTAAACAGTATACCAAATGAATGGAAAATAATTTTTTGTATATTTTTTACGCAAATTGTTCATTACCTTTTTCTTCGAATTTTCTTAATGCTTTGTTCCACTCTGCTATTTCATTTACCCACGTCTCCTTCTCTTTATTCAGCTGCTCTTTATCTCTTTCTAAATCCTCCTTTTCCCCTTCATATTCTTCTTCCACCTTCCTCTTCTTCAAATCATTCAACCTCTCCAACTTCTTATCTGCCTTTTCGTAACCTCTTATTGCTCGTTCTAACCCATCTTCAATTTGTTTGTATGTTACCATTTTATAAAAAAATATTTTTTATTGATTTAGTTGATTTAGTTACAATTAATTGACGATCCATCTATGAATCGGTGAAATGTCGATCTTTTTATTAATAAAAAACGGAGGAAATATCTTATAGAATGATCTGCAAAAATCTCCACCACATCCCCGTCACGTGTTAAATTTTTAAAAATTTAAAAATAAAAATAATTGAAAAATTTTTTTAATTTTTTTTTGCAAAGTGTTTTTGAAAAAGATTTAATCGAACTCTTTCTTACATTAATTACTCGAAATCCTAATTCTGGTAGTAATAGTAATAGTACGTAATAGTAATAGAGTTGGAATAAATTTATTTATTATTATTGTTATTCGAATAATTAAAAAGTTACACAAACGTAAAAAAATTTTTACATATGAAAAATTTCACTCATCTCTACATCCCCAAGAGTAAAAAGTTTTTTTTTTTCGATATTCTTGAAAAAAAATACATAAATATGTTCTTTGACATTAGTTTCATAACCCGAAATGAAAAAAAATCATTTTAAAGTACAAAAGTATAGTAACATTTTTTTATACAAAGTCGTAGAGTTCACCGATTCATAGACGGATCGTCAATTAATAATTTAATTAACAGAGGTAATTGAAGTAATTGGTAGACTTAAGAAGCTCAAACCATTATCACCATTATCATCTTTCATACAAATTTTTTCACATGCTAAAAATATAACATTGGGTTTGAATACTACAATTTCTAACTCAGCTTTATCTTTGTTACTAGTACAATCATTTAATATTAGATTCATAAAAATTGACTGATTTTCCTCAAAGTTGCCAGATGTTATCCACTTAAAATTCCCTGAATTTTTAAAAGAAAGCTTTATTTTATCACATTTAATGGCTTTACCAAATTCTGGAAATTCTAATATACTTTTATTATGATAATAATGTTAATATTTATTTGATTTTATCAAATATAAAAAATGAATAATTGAGTATATTACCTATAATAAATATAAGAATTGTCTAAGGGTTTAATCCTTTTTTTGGTTTCAAGGTCATAAGTGTGAATACAGACTTTTTTGTCTGATTGATGAAAATGCAAACTGGTGATAATTTTTGAATCCTCTGGATCAGTTTTATTTTTATATGATTTAATCATACAAGATCCAATTATTGATTTCTCTTTTTTTGGCCTTTCAATTTCTGCAATAAATCTATTATTATCTTGTTTAATCTCCTTTTCTCCTCCACCAATAAATGTAATATCCAACTCAGATTTAGATCTAAAACCATATCCAACAATTATATAACTAATTTTTAAGTCATGTCGATTATAACTTGATTTGTCTTTATCTTCATTAATTTTGTGAATGACAACCACAGGGCTATTTTTATCAAGATATTCAATTCTACTACTAAATGAATTTTTTGCACTTTCATTTTCTTCCATTATTGTAGAGAAAATTTGACATTCATCAATATTTGGAATATCATGCTCTAATATATGAACATGAGCATTTTCCTTAGTATCATAGACAATTTTACAAGTTTTAACTTATATCAATATAAATGTATTTATGAATTAGTAAATAATTATCCAGAATAAATATTAAGACAAATATAATGTGATTTACCTACCATCAAGTATTCTTTGGCCCAAACATTTTAATACTCGATCTTTTAAATCATCTGGTAATATTTCAAATATAGGTATAACTTCTTTATATTCAACTATCTCCCACTTATCAGGATCATTGAGAGCCTCATACCAACCACTTATATTATCATCAAATAAATAATCACCTCCACCTATTATACGTTCATAAGATCTGGCTTCACTTGAGCTTGTATTGTCATTTCCTGATTTTGTTCTACCTCCAGATATGCTAAAATCAGTAATCCTTGAGTAACTCATATTAGATTCACCACTAATTGTACTTGAAGATGATTTTATAACTAAAAAAATAATTTAATTGTTGATTATTTTTTTAAATTTTTTAAAAAATAATATATATTTAATATATATTAAAAAGTAGAGTTTACCTTGATTTGCTTCACTTGTAAGTTGACTTACAATTTTACCACCAAAAATATTTTTTTTGGATATAAATTGACCATAATCTTCAATGATTTTCTTAAGTTTCTCAAGTTGTACACGTAATTTTAAATTTGGATCAATTGCAGATTCAACATCATTTACAAATTCAGTTGTTAAATAATAATCTAATTCTGTAAATTCAATTGATGCATGTTCTGATTTAATAATTGAATATGAAGTGGCTGTGGCCGATTTCTTTTTAAACTCAATTGAACTTTTACTTGTTAAACCAATACAAAATGATAGCCATGGTAATATTGAAGATATTTTACAATCAAAAGCTGTATTACGTTGACATAGATTATCCAATTCATTATCACACCTTTTAGTCTCCTTATACCTCTCTGGATGACGATCCTTTTTGTTTTTGGAATCTGTAATTACAATTGCTTTTTTAGAAGCCCTTTCAGCGCCCTTATCCGCTATTATATTAAATCCATATTCACAAGATTTAATTAATTTTGACCAATTAGGTCTATTTGTTTTGCATAATTCTATCAAATTGATATTTTTATCATTTTTATTAATTATCTTCTCTAAAGTATATTCATATTCTTCATCTATTTCTATTTCACCATGTTCTGGAAGTATAAAGGAAAAATTATAATCTAAACGTTGACTTAGAAATAATCTAACTTCGTCCAATTTCATATTTAAAGGCAATTTATAAGCTTTCTTTTTTTTTTCACTTTGGAATGAAACATTGGTGGATTCATCATTCTTGATTTTTTTAATAAATAATTTATCACCGACGAGAATCTCCGATAAAGCCTTGTCTTCATTTATAATATCTTTACCTTCATGTTGAAAGATTAAAGTATCTTTAAGGAAACGAATATAATTATGAATTTCTGAACTTTCTAAGATAAATATACGAATTTTTGATAACTTTAGGCTATCATTAAGCTTTTGATTAAATTCTTTGCCGTCATCGATTTTTATAACGATGTCTCTAATCATGCTCAGAAGACAAAAAATAATATTAATTTTCACAAACACATAATAACACTAAATTTGTAAATGTCATTTGTATCTGAAATTTTTTTGTTGATGATATTCATCAGCACATTATTTTTTTGACGTATCAACAACAGTCAAGATTGCTTTTATAATTTATAGTAGCCAAGTTTTATTTTATTTTTAAAATAAGATAGTTTCTTTATTATTTTACTTAATAAATATTATTACATATAAATTGAAAATAATAATAATATTAAAATCTTAATAAAAATATAATATTAATATTGAAATTTTTATTTCATTGCTAAAAATAATTTTAATTTTTAAATCTTATTTTATATACAAGCATAGATTATTTATTATTATTACTATTTGATTTTTAAATTATTTGATAATATTAATTAAATCTTCCAAAATTGATTGTGGATGTAAATGAATGTAAAAGATCAAATATGTGATATTATTTGATAAGCGTATGCGCATAAAGAAAATAATTAATATTAAACTAAAAAATTAAATTTTGTAAAGAGTGTGATATATATATGATGATATATATATTTAATTATAAGCAAAGAATGTGTAAATTATTTTGTTTTTTGTACATTTCCCCAGCTCCACAAAGTTTTTATATAAAGATTATAATATATATAAATTAAATTAAAAATAATAATACATTAAAAAAATTTTTTTGTTGATTTGTATATTTATATATATATATATATATACCATCTATGTACTATAACTAACTAGTTTACAATTATATTATATAATATGAATGATGGATGTTGAATGTTGAAAAATGTTGATGTTGATTTTGATGATGATGGTTGAAGTTGAGTAGTTATGAGTAATAGTAGTTTGTTGTAATAAATTCCCAGCCCAAAATTCCCAAAATTAAATATGTCATGAAATTACACAATCACGAGCAAACCACCATTGTTCTTTTAATTGATTAATCCAAGACACGACCATCTTCAATCGCTCTCTGATTGATCTTTTCTCCAACAATTTATATTTTTCAGAGTCGTCAATTGGAATGAAAGAAGCAACCCAAAAAGAAAAATCAGATGGGTCGTCAGGCATATCACCAAATGTAGTATTGAGATGTGGTAGTACCCATGGAGCATTACCATTTTTCAAAGTTTCAATAAATTGATGTGCCGTTGCTATAAGTTCAGAAGTTGTAGGCTCGTATATCCTAGGATTACTAGGGTCTTGATTATTTATTTCTGCTCGCCGGATTGCATCTCTTTCCAAGTCAGCTTCTTCATCTGGACTCACATCATCTATCCTTTCAATATCGCCAACATCGTAACCATCCTTTTTTGACCTTGACAATATTCTGAAACGATATGTGCCGATTGTTTCAACCAGTGAACGACCATCTGTTAAGAACTCGGCTGATTTGATTTCTAACATTGTCCCATACTCATAATAGTCGTTATTACCACCACGTCCTAACACCATGCCAAATTGACGTGCTCTGGAGTCTAAACATCTTCTTAACATCAGTCTATAATGAGCTTCAGATATATGTATGAAACAAGGCATACTCGGAAAGATTAATGTTGAAATGAATAGCGGAGTCTCGCGCATTGTGTCGCTTAATTCAGATTCTGCAAGTCGTATTCTATCGAAAAATAAGGATGGATACATTGACTTTATGAAGGTAGTAATAGATTTGTTCACTGGATGATTGAGGATTGAGGCGTAATTGTGAAAAGGATGTCTACATAAAGGACATGAGCCAGAATGATCTAGGGAACGTGTTAGACATGATTTACAAAAAGTGTGGCCGCAAGATGTTGTTATAGGGTCTAAAAATAAATGAAAACAGACTGTACATTCGACATCTTGTACTAGTATATCTCTTATTGCTTGATTTGCTGTTGAAGCAGGAGGGGGAGGAGGGGGGTGAGGTTGTAAAGATCTTGATGATATCAATGATGATATATTATTAATATTCTGATTATTCATCATTGTCATTATATTATTGTTATTGTTGTTATTGTTGTTGTGATGATTATAATTCATTATATAATTAATAGAATTATTATTGTTTAGGTATTGATGGTTGTGATTATTATTATTATTATAACTGTAGTTATTGTTATTACTGCTGCTAGCATTATTACTATTATAACTATTTATATTGTTATTGTTATTGCTGCTAACGTTGTGATTATTTGTAGTGGCATTGTTATCATTAGGCAAATAGTTGATTAGTTCTTTACGACACCTATCAGATAATTTTTGTATGGTGACATCGGTTCTAGCATCTTTACAATGTATTCTACTACAACCCACTATAGGACAATTAAACCTTCCGTTTGGTAAAGAAGTATATTGCATTAAACATGAGCGACAGAAGGTGTTTCCACATGGTAAAGTTACTGGATCCATAAAAAACCTATTACATAAAGGACAACTTAACAATCGTATGATTGTATTTGCATCCGATTCTTCGTCATAATCTTGTAAATGATGCTGTGAAGAAGAAGAAGATGAAAAAGAAGAAGTGATAATTGTTTCTTCTTCATCATTATCACCATCACTTATGGTATCGGTATCATTTAGTAATGATTTTATATTCATAATTACTATTAATAAAATAAGGTTATTAAAAAAGGAAGCAATGATTAATAAAAAATTTGATCAAATATTGAATTTGATTAATTCGATAGAGAAAAGGGATAAAAAGGGAAAATGAGAAGAAGATAAAGGTTTATGGATTTGAAGTAAAGAAGTTTTTAAAAAACTTTTTTTTTGGAGTTCTTCTCTTGTTGTTTAAATGTTTGAATTTTTGATGTTGATAATTGATATAATTGACAAAAAAAATTTATCCACAAAAAATTAAATTTTTGTAATACAACAAAAAAAAAATATCCTTATTTTATAAATTTTATAAACAATTATTGTTTGTTTTTATAAAGAAATCGAAAATTTTTTAGAATTTGATTTTTATATTTTTTTTTTGGCGTTATGTTTATATATATAATAAAAATTATACTTTTTTGTAGATTATAATTATATAACATAAATAAATAAATATTTACATGGATAATAGACATAAAATATAAAGAAATGTTCTCTTAAGCAATAGTTTAGGTAAAGTAATAATATATATAGGATGATTATTGGTTAATCAATGAATGAACTGGTAAGAAAGAAGTAATTCATTAAAAGTAAGAAAGGAAATTGCTGAATTATAATATAATTGAGTGGAAAATCGTTGGAAAGTTTTTATATGAAAAGATGTAGATTATTGATGATATAAGGTGGACGACGAATATGAATGGTTTTTTTTTTCCTTTTCGATGGTGAAATATTTATATTAATGTTACTAGCTTAGTTGGTAAGTGTGATAAAAAGTATAACAGATGAATAATAATAGATTTATTTAAAAAAATATTTAAAAATAAAAATAAAAATAAAAAAGAGTTAGTTTTATATGAGTTCATGTGAGGGTCTTTAAGATTATCATCAGAAATAGAAAGAAAATAAAAAAAAACAATAAATAAATAATAAATGTATAAATGGCTGTAATGATAATACAATATTATAATAATTATATTATAGTGTATTATTTATTTATTATATAATTCAATTTAAAAGTTGATTATCAAATCTTTACATAATTCAATATTTTCTAAGATCAGGTAAAACAATATTACACACTACATACTACTACATACATGATTATATCACACTGTAAGTAATTAAAATAAATGAATTATTATTATTACGTGTGTATAATTGATTACATACTGTATAAATAACTATTTGTGTGTATAAATAAATACCCATGTATAAATAATATAAATAAACAGCTCATTACACAGTGAACTCGATAAGTTGTTTATCCCTCGATTGAGAGGCTGTTTATTTTTTCTCACAAGAATTGCCCAAGCATAATTTCCTAATTTAGTTTTTAAAAACCCTAAATCCTAAATATCTTAATTATATAATAACCTTTAATTTATATATAGATTTAAAAATTTTATATGATTTGATTACATCATTGGGTTAAGTCACGTGTAATAGTTTTAAAAAAGGCTTACTCAATTATTGACTGGCAAGTTAGTTGTAGTAAAAAAAAAAAAAAAAATCCTTTTCCATTAATTAGAATGCATATATAATTAAGCAAGTAAATTTTTATTGCCTTCTCGTAAAATGACGTTTTTTTCCCTTGTTACATGAATGAGGATCTTTTTACTAAAATAACAACAATTAAGAAATAACATACTATATATGTTATTCTATACAGGTTGGCATAGCAAATCCACTTTACTTTTTAAATTTTAAAGCTGAACTAACCAAATATAGTTTTCATCTTCAATTACAAATTAATTACATAATCATACGTAAACAAATATTTACATTTAAAAATAATGAAAAAAAAAATTTTTATTTTTCATTGTTTAAATTAGATATTATTTGTTGTGATAATTGCGAAGAATATGTGATAATTGCAAACATAAAATATTTGTCGTGATAATTTATAATAATAAAATGTAACGACAGTTTATGTCAAAAAATCTGTAACAAATAAAAAAATAAATTTAGCAGGTAATAAATTTAATTGATTAATTATCTAAAATAGAACTATCTCTCGGAAGATTAAAATATTATATAAATATTATAAATATTACTATTATATAAATCTATGCATGTTTAATTATTTTTCTTTATATCAATCATTAGAATCATAGGTGGAAGGATGACTTGTTACCATGTAATCGGGACTTGTACTACAGTACATGATATTAAACATTGATTCCTTAACTATTACATAAATAAAATTGACGCATTAATTGCATTAATATACATGTACATAGTAATAATAATATCAATAACTTCTTTGTTTTTAACTCCCCGAGTTACCCGCCTTTTCAACTCCGAAAGTCTCAATCGACCAATAAATTGATCATTATTTAAATAAAAAACCCGAATATCATTCTCTAAAATGGTAAAAGTTTATTTTTCCACTATTTGATTAGCTCTAGGCTATCTTTACCTATTCTATATATTGTATATAAATAATGATGTAATGCCTCGCAGATCAATATTAGAAAGGAGAATAACCTGGAAGAAGAACAATAATTTTTCTCCTTGTGAATATTTTCTTTTTATTATATAATCATTAATTAATTAACGTTTAAATTATAATAAATATTTTCTTTCTATTCTTACTTAAAAAATAATATGAAACCAATAACAGATTCTAAATCAAAGAACAAAGACTCATACATATCCACAATCACACAATCCAACAACCTCTTCTGGTAAAAATCCATTCTTTAATGAACACGATCATCATTTCTGTAGAGTAGTTGCTGATAATGATGATCCAATTGACACATCAAAGTTAAATGTTGGCATTATTTTTTGTGATGATAATAATGACGGTGGTGATGGGGTTGATGAACCTTATGAAATACTTGCACCATCATTTCACCCTGATGAAAATGATATTTTAGAATTTAATGAGGTGTCAGGTGATAATCTCGAAATGGAAGTTAAAGCCTTACAAAAATTATCATTATCAACAAATCAGGGAAATAACGATAAACAATGGGAGGGGGGAGAGGAGGAAAAGTCACCTGCTAAAATTGTTTGCCCAAGTGAAATAATAATCGATCCTCATAAATTTTCTATAACAGAGAAAGAATATAATAACAATGATTATGATGAATTAGACATTGACTTGGAAACTGGGCTAGTTAAAGAGCCTGCCCAACAACAACAACAACAACAACAACAACAACAATCAGAAGGAGAATCAGGGGAGTTGATAGATGAGGAAGAAGAATTTAAAGAGGATCCACCATCTCCAACATCACCACGTGATTCAGAGAAAGAAGCACCTGTTTTTACCGAAGAGGAAGATGGCACATTGGAAGCTGCCTCATATCGATTTGAAACAGATTCTAACTGGCAAGACGAGTCAAATATAGAGTTTGGGGATGATCCCGATTATAAAATTTGGTCGGACGATGAAGGAATCGATCCGTTGGAAAATAAATAACTATAAATTTAGAGTGAGAGAAAAAAAACAAGTGTGTAATAATATGGAAATAATCGATAAAAGTTGACGGTTGAGAATAAAAAATAAGTTTATCATCCATAACAAATAATGAGTTTCATAATAATCTTATATCCTCCGTATAGAATAAGAATAATTGGAAACGATAAATTCAAAAGTATAAATCCATGTTAAGCTTACTGTTTGCTTCAGCTTTATTTACTCAGGTCAAAATTTAGCCTTTTCTTTTCTTAAATCTTGAATAATGCTTTATTGTTTAACTAATTCAGTTCTCCTTTAAATATTTTAGTTGCTTTTCAAGCTAGTGAGTGATTTCATCTAAAGTATTTCGTTTCCCAAGTCTTCTATTTTCATGTTTTTCTCATCTCCTAATTACTGATATTGCTTAACCTTGTCATTTATTATCTCTTTCAATTTTATTCAATAAAGCTCTTATTTTTGGATCTCCTTGTTCCCCATTCTTATTAATTATTATGTCAGCTGATTTTGTTCGGTAAGTTTTTTATTTGCTCTTTTATTTGCCTTTCTGTTGGTAAGAATATAAGTGGTAATAGAGTTAATTTCTCCCTAGGCTTGGTAATCCATGAGCTTCTGCGTAATTTTCTTGAGAATTCTTTACAGACACAGAAATATTTTTTGTTAATTACCATTTTTGTTTTCATTGAGGTATTGCCACCATTGACTCTTGATATAAGGCCATTGCTTATTAGACGATTTCTGGTATTGCTATAAGATGGATCGTCTTGTTCCGATTTTGAAAGGGTTTATATAATTCAGCAAACTCATCCTTTGGAATCATTGATAAACAACCACAAACACAACCTACTTACAAAAAATGCATTGCCTTTTCACATTCAGTAAAATCACTACAAAAGTGGGAGATATTTATTGTTGATATTTTTGAGCTCAGATACGATATAATTAAGGCGAAGAAGGATCATACATAGTTAAAAGTGCGTATTCTTATATATATATATATATATACATATTATTTAATACAGTTTTAGAAATCAACAGACTGACAATTATAATAATTATCATTATTAATCGATTAATCAACCAACTAAGCTGAAGAAAATTATTATGGCTTCAGTCTCCGCGTTCTCGAATTGAGGTATCTCCATTATTATTATTAAAGCTGCTAGGTAGCCGAATCAATGCTTCTTGGGCTGTAATAACATCATTATTGTTTAGATTAATACACCACTTGAACTTGGTAATTTTCGAAACCAACAACTTCATCGTCATTTAAATCTCGCGTATATGTAATTTTGTTGACAAACAAATAATGCTACTTACGTTGTATGTAATATGTCAAACTAGAACCTACAAAAATAACAACATACATCGATTTAACCAAGATCCTATTGGTCAATCGAGAAAATCTATACTAATATGGCAAGTAATTATCGCGTCTCAACTAAAATCCTGATTTTCCTTAAAAACTTCCGAAAAAAAAAGAGTTTCCGGAAAATTTTTAGCATTCAGAAGAAATTTCCGTTTTTTTTTTTCAGATCCTATTTCCAGCCCTGGTCTCAACTGTTTAAAGTACTTGATTAATATCTAATGTGGAACCAAATTACAATATGTGTCACCTTTTAAATTTTAAGGTCCTCAAATTTTGCCATCATACCAGCCAGCTCTGCCGATGATTGATTAGTTGATACTCTCTCCAGTTCCAAATTATATGTTCATTGTCTTCCTCTGAATAATTTTGTCCGTGCGAAGATGAAGATATAGACAAGGATATATCTTAAAAATGTTGAAAACATATAAACTGCAAAACCTTTATTACTGCGAGCAACTCGTTGTCGTTTAAATGGTTTATATATGTGCAATGTTACATTTTTCCATTTAATTTTCACGAATATATCTCAGTAACAAAAAAACTTGTGATAAAACCTAATTTATTACAGAATTAGTTTCATTTGGCACACACATCGCATAGTGGTTGTGATTTGAGTCTAATGCATGGCCAAAGTTCGCTTATATGTATCCTTTAGTATATACTGTATCTACTTTTTTTTTTTTGTGAGACAGAGTTTCCTCAACGTACTAAGTGGGAGGATCTAGCCTTGGAATGTAATTATAATAAATCTTTCTATTTTTCTAGGGAATCCTTTGAAAATTTAGTGAAAAATCTAAAATTGGAGAAATAATAATTTTCTAAAATTTAAATGCAAAAGTTCATTTATCAATAGTAAATAATAGTATGTTTTCTCTAGACTTTCTTATGTGAATGAATTTAATTTATTTTAGGTTAAAGAGCTGGTCAAAATTTTCGTAACACTCATTTTGTTAAATTTGTTAATTGCACAACAAAATTACATAATAAACATAAAACATAAAAATTTTGTATTTCCTCTCGAACAAATGAATAAAAACAGACTTCAATTAAAATTTTTGACACATAAAAATATGTATGGAATTTTTACATGTGAAAATTTAATCCGACAATATTTTACTTTTTTAAATATTAATATCAATGTCAATTAAAGTTATGATCGTCAAAAATATTCATTTAAAAAAATGAGTGTTCCGAAACTATTAAATTTAATTACGGATACTATTACTATGAACTATTTAGCATTTCGGATTCAAGGTAATCTATCTATAATAATAATAATATAATATAACGCTAATAAAAATCATTTTGTACAAGAAATAAAATTTTTTTTTAATTAAATGGTACTTTACTTACATGTTGGTTATTATAAAATTATTTTATTTTATTTTTAAAAAAAAGATGTGAAGTTTTATTTTCACCATTAATGAGCCCAAAGAAAGCTATATCGAATTTTTGTAATCAGATGGATTAAATCGACATATGTACGAACTTTCTCGTCATTCCAAAAAAAACCCCCGCTTCCGTGATGAAAGGCTGTACGAAATGATGACTAGAAATAATATTACATTACATTTTTTGTATTCATTAGGAACATTCATAAAAAATATTAATATTATATTAATATGTGATTAAAATTTTCTACTTCTTTTTACACATGACTTTTTTTCTTTTTCCCTTTTAAAATATCAATTATGTCCTATGTGATTTTCGAGTTTTGAATAATTACACGGAAAAAAAAGTTATTATAGAATCTGCTAACTTTATTCCAAAAATGGATTTTTGGAATCTTTTAATGTTGGTTAATATTTTTAGCCGGTTACCGGTTAAAGGATCCATTAAACGCCACATTTGGTTATACATATATAGTTAAAATAAAATTATCGTCAATTAATAAATATTTGCATAACAAGTATTTGCATATTTATTTATTTAATGTTATAAATCACTATGAACTAAAAAAATTAAATAACTGTTGACGCCACCAGCTCCAAAATGTTTGTCATGTCGCCATTACCGGTTTCAATGAAACTGAACAAGAAAAAAAAAAACAAAAGACAAAAAGAAATCATGGAACATTTATTTGGTGGCTCTTTTTCCAGCATTTGCGAAAATAAAATCTATATTTTATAAAAAAAAAAATTTTAAATTAATTTGTACCAACACTATTTTAGAATATCGATTGGCAAAGGAAATATAATTTTTTAATGTAATTTGTCACATGATCATACATATTAACAGTTAAGATACTCATTGGTCTCATGTGACTATCAAACAACTAAATTGACCGGTTAATTTTAACTGATTAAAATCAAAATCTTAACTGCCTGTTTAACAGTTAAACGGTTAACAGCATGCCAATCTCTACATAATAATAATAATTATTTAACACACAAAAGTATATTCCAACTATTATTATTGGAGATTATAACAGGGGATAATGTAATTATGTAATTATGTAATTATATTTACGACTTAAAGATATTATTTATTCATTAAACACTGCAAGTCAACAACTAAGATTCGAACGATTACGTCTCATGACATGCTGATACTTAATGAGTTTATTGTGCATTTGTTTTTACAAACTAAAAACTAAACAAAGAATTTATAATATATGTAGCGTCATGTGCCTGCTAGATCTGAAGACTGCACATCTCAGAATAAGTTTTTACGTAAAAATCTAATTCTAACGGTATATTTATCTGTTTGTAAATATTGTGTGATATTTGCTAGATGCGTTCATTAAAATTAAGTTGGTCAGCATTAGTGTAATTTCAGCTTTTTTAAATCAAGGTAGTATAAAAGATCAATTGAAAGTGATTGCGAGGAAAAAAAAAATTTTTTTTCACATAGGTTACATATTTTTTTTGGAATTGTGTGTATATTTATTAAATTTTCCAAAAAAGTGGGTAGAAAAAAGATGATTTACTCTTAAACATTACTATTACTAGTGTTGTTCGGGTCCTCTAAAATCTATTAATAATAAACTAACACCTAACTGTAGATCTGAATATCATATTGAATTATGTAATTGCATATTATAAATAATTTGTCATCCTTAGAACATTATCATAATAATGTAATTTTTCCAAAGCCTTATTATAATGGATGAAAATCTTCGGGAAGAAAGAAAATAAAAAAGGAAATAATCTACATAATTTAAATTATCTTTTTCATTCCTAATTTAATCGATTACACACATATTATTGTTTTTCTTTCAAACTTTTTTACCAGAAATTCGTTAAAAATGATTACATAATTTTGAAATATTTTTGATTACCAAATCATTACGAATTATTATTATGATTATTTATGCGAGCGCGGACTTCGGTATAAAAATGGAAACACATATCCAGTTTGTTTATTTATTTATGTAGGTTTAAAGGAATATGGAAATAAGTAAAAAAGGAACGACTTATCTAATCATTTTGTTTTGGTTTATTTGTTTATACCTTGACTATTATTTTGTTCAGCCGTCGGTATTTTTATTATTTTATCAAATTTCAACCAATCATCGAATTTTCCGAATTTTCATTACTCAACCTTCCTTTTTTATCATTTAGATTCACATTTATTAGAAAGTGGTTAAGTAATTATTTAAATTATTATATTTGTTCTTACTAACTAAAATTTCAAGGCCGACGATCTTGTATGTTGATTTCAAGTATTTACAAGGATCTTGCTATTTCATCGGAAAAGTTTTTCTGACGTAAACTTACATAATTAGTGTAATGATTGTGTAACTTATGTAAAAATTGTAAAACTTACAAGCCTGCATAAAAAATTCGTTGCGTATTATGTAAGTTTATGCAATGTCATATGGAACTTACGAGTGTAATAATTACAGCGGATCCGTAATAATTGCGCCCGAAAAAACATTCCTTGATTGTATTTGGTAGTTGTTGATCAGTAGTAGTGGGACATGTTTACAAGATTTTTTGAAGGTAATATTTTTATTATTATTTACTACAACTATTAATTTTTTTATACTAACACCACTAATTCCAAATGAATTATCATCAAGAAAATTTTCAAACGTAACTTCAGAAGAATTGCAAGTTTTACACTATATTGTTTCGTAATTGTGCAATAATTCTTGCCTCCCCTTTCCTTTTACCCTTTAGACCACATACACTCATATACAATTCAATACCCACCTCAGTGCTATTGCACATTTGATTAATTTTCTTTTCAATTCTTTTAATCAAACATTTTACTTTAGTAGATAATAAACAACCTCGATTATTTGTATGCTGATTCACAATAAAAATATCACTAAAATCTTAAAAATTAAGAATAATTATAATAAGTAAAAGGGTCTTGCCTATTACTTATGCACAAATTTCGGGTCTTTACGAACATATCTATTTTATCACAGATAAACTTAAAATTTATAGTGTCAATTAACATAATCTTTAACATAATCTTAATTTTCATTACTACTACAGCATTGATAAGGAAGATGTGTGATTCTGCAAATTGTATTACCAACAACTTTAAAAATTAATCAATATAATTATTAGACACACGGACATATGGGCCTGGACAACAGAAAAGGACCGTAACGAAAGTGAACTACTATGTAAAGTAGGTATTAGTATAGTTTCTAAGTAAGTAATGTTCTACATGAAGATTTACATAGAGAGATGGTATTAACTCAAAATTACTTTTTTCACATTATGGCCCTTGTCTATTATCCAGACCCTATATATTCATTTTTTAAATGATTCCTTTCATCTTTTGGTTACTTACGCGAAACTATTATTTTGTAATAGTAAGCATTATGTGCGTTAATAATCATAATCATAATCATAATCATAATCACAATCATAATCATAATCATAATCATTTCACCATAAGTCCATAAATTAATGAATGAATTGATTATATCTTAATATACGAAATATCTAATAATAAATGCTTACGAATTGCATGATATCAAAAAGAAAAAAACGCGAGTTCAATACGGACACGAAAAAAAGTAATTCTGACAATGATGATAATTATTGTACAACATCGTTGATTTATGCGCAAACAAGCACTGTAATTACTAACGTAATCGAAATTTCTTATTAAATTTAATTTATAACAAGGATATAAAAGTAAGTAAAATAAATTTATCAAAAATAATTTTTTTTCAAATTCATGTTTTCTATTTGATCATTAAAAACATCTTTACCATCATCGTTATAAGTAATGATGATAATAACATTGTTTTCTTATGACCAATTAACCCGAATCAAATTCCTATCGTTGGACAATTATCGATTTTTTCTTTTTTCACTTCTTGCATTCTTGGTTTACAAGCGGTTTATCTTTACTTCCACACTATATGTATTATTTATGAGTTTTGGATTGGAAACGAGAAATAAAATGGTTATCAAATTCATGGTAATAATCTCAATATGACCTGTATCTTACTCGTATAATGGTAAAATTATTAATTAAACTTTTCCTAATAATAATATAAAGGGAAAAAGATGATAAATCTATATTTATTAATACATTTTTCTTTTTTTAAAAATAACTGTCAGAAAGAAGTATCGCTATCGAGAAAAAGTTTTTTTTAAAATTAGAAAGTAGGAACTTTGTATGTAACGTTCTGGTTCAAATTTAATCCTGGCCAATATGTTTCAGATATAATTGATGGAATGAAAAAGCCATCATAAGGAGCAATTTATAAATTGGGCTAATCAAAAGAATGTAACAAGCGTAAATCTGAAATTATAGTAGAGTCCTTTTAATACTTGGACATTTTATTCAACAATATTAAATAAAATCATCTTTTCCATACTATATTTTAGAACGGATATGTTAAAAATTAAATAAAGGTGGGTTACATGGATAAGAAGTTATATTTATCATGGAACTTGTAGTGTAGTATTAAAATCGTTAAATGATTCAAGTGATCCAGGAAAAGCATGTTTGATGAAGTGGTGGTTTTCATTTAAAACATAAATAAGGCAATATATTACTATAAAATCAAAACACCAACACTAAACAGGTTGTTATTGCTATGCTATTAACTATTAAATTCCCAGATAATGGAATTATGCGATTGTTCTAAATTATCAGTTATTTACAAAAAAATCAACATTAAAAGATAGAATTACAATCTTTGGGTATTTATGTAACTCATTCATTGTATAATTAATATATATATAAAAGACTTAATTCATATTATTGCAGGAGGTGGTTGTAATATTACAGATTTAGGATTATGTGGAGTTGTATCATACGTTACGCCTGAGTTATTTGGTGGCAAAAGAACACAAAAGAAACAGGTGTTTATAGTGTTGAGTGGGATGTTAACATGGGAAATATTTGCAGGCCGCCCACCATTTGATGATAATAAGTTAATTTTTGATACCAACATTACCTGCGATGCAGAAGTGTTGGGATGAAGATTTATCAAAAAGACCAACTATCGGAAAACTTTTTTTTGTTAAACAAACTAGATGAAATTCTTAAAAAATAAAAGTTTAAACATGAAATTGATTTTAATAATAATAATAATAATAATAATAGTAGTAGTAGTAGTAGTAGTAGTAGTAGTCGTAATAATTCACAACATCCAGATGCATATCATATTTATGTTGATTTTAGGTGAATTAGTTGAATTATAATTATTTGTAATAATAATAGTAATAATGGAATAAAGGAAGAATGATTGATTAATTGATTAACAATTAAAGGAAACAGATTGGTTGTTTCAGTAATAGTCGAATCTTAAATAAAAGAACAAACCATTTTTTTACAAGAAAGGATTTTATATACATTCACCAATTCAGCATTTTGTTAAAATAATTTAACGGTGTCCTCAATTTTATTATGGTCACGTAATTTCCCAGCCCAACAAATAAATATTAATATATATTTCAATGCGGCTAATTCAAATTGCAATTTTTAAATACCCTTTTTTTTTTAAATAAATATTCATATATATATATATTTTTTATTTGCTTGATAATTTTTTTACAATAAATAAAGTAATTTGATGATTTATATATAATTCTAATATAATAATATAAAAATACAATATTTCAGAAAATATATGTTAATACGACTCATCATGATCTATTTTATCATAATCCAAGTCTTTATCATCGCTATCACTATCACTATCTTCATTTTCTTGATTACTACCTTTTTTTTCTTGATGATTATTCTTCAGATCATTGCTTTTTGAACTATTTACATTATTGTTGGATAAAGAAGGATTATCGTTACCGTCATTATTTTTTGTTGGAATTTTAGCCTTCTTGTCCTGTGGAACAGATGAAGAGATGGAGTTATTACCGTCTTGATTTTCACCATTTTGCTGATCGGTTGATTCGTGTCTTCCAATAACTTTTTTCAGCATATTGGCTATAACGCCATTATTATTATTATTTTCTGAAGATGCCTTTTTCTCCTCCACTTCCAAACTTTCTTCTCCATGAGAATTTATAATGGATCGAGAATAAACCTTTGCATAAGTGAGAATTTTACAATCTAAACCATTATTTTTATTATTATCCTTAAGATTTGTTCCAATTAACGGGAAGAAACAAATATCCACAACATAATCCTCCAAACAATCATCGTCCCATGTACCTCTCATAAGATCTGGCTTGATTTTTTCGTTACGTTTAAACCAATACAATTCAAACCTTGGTTCATTTATCAACAAACGAAACCTGAAAATTCTAACAATATCTTTAATAATATTTTCTGCCATATTTTCCGTGTATCTCCTCTTATTTACATCCTTGATCAGACGATATTCAGTCATTAATGCGTTGAGTTTTTGTACTGCAGATGATACAAATGGATGTTTGGTTGATTGAAGCTGTTTATTGTCGTCACCATTACTGCTATTGCTACTATCATTATTTTCATCATAAATATCAGAGAATCCATGTTCACCCAATAAACCATAAACTTGTTCATGAATTTTTCTTGCTGTGGTAAATTTATTTTTATTATCTTTAATTAAATGATTACGATGAAATTTACCAAGAATAGTTAACAATCCATCTGCGTGATTCATGATTTGTTTCTCTTGATTGCAAGGATCATTGATGTTATTAAGATATTCATCTGCATATTCGAGAACTTTTTCCAGCACATAACGTTGTAAAACTGATTTCATCAAAATTTTGTCTTGAGTTGTTTGGTTTTCAATCTTTAAATTATATTTCTTGAATAATTCTAGAACTTTCTCATTATCAACCACCACGGCACCTTTCAAAGTGGTTACATATCTCTCAATTCTTTCCTGCAAAGATCTTAAATCATTAGTAAGTTGAACCGGATCATTCCTATCTCCATCTCTCAAATTGTAACATGATGATTCTGCACTTCGTAAAGCTGATTGACATGATGAAGCTTCTTTTCTTAATTTTTCATTTTTAACTTCCAAGTCTTTATTCAACTTTTCCAATTCTTTAACCATAATAGCTTGGTTTTGTTTCTCAGTTTCAATCTCGCAAATTTTTTTCTCTGCGCGAGTATTAGATTGTTGTAATTTAGTAACTTCGGTACTGGATTTTTCATAAACAATCGAGAATTCTTTTTTCAAATTATTAATATTTTCGTTGTATTTTGGTATGATTACTTGTTGATATTTGGTTAATTCATTCTGATAAAGTTCTTTTTCTTGTCTTAATTTCTTAACTTCTTCTTTATATCTTGGTTCAATTTCTCGTTGATAACTGGTAAATTTATTACGATAATGTTCCGTTTCTTTATTTAACCTGTCGCAGTTTTCTTTTAATTTATTAATCACTTCTTTTAATTTATCAATATATTCGTTATACTCTTCATGTTTTGTTTCAACTGTTTGTCTATATTTAACGAATTCAATCTTTTGTTTCTCATTTTCCTCTTTCAACCTTTCATTCTTTTCATTAATTTCATTAAATTGTTTTACCAGTCCGGAATCCATATTTTAATTATTTATTTCCTTTGATTTATTCAACAACTCTATTACTTGACGGAGGAAGAACAAAACAATAAAAGTATATATTTGGTGGGAATATGCTGTCTATTCTTACTTTATATGCACAATGGTATTTTCATTTTTATCAAATTTCACAGATTTAAATGGTTACATTAACAGCAGGTCAATTCATTTATATTTTTTGGATAACTAAATATGGATACTAATCGTCTTTAATTTTTTTTTATTGTCTAATACTAATTTTTTGGAAAAAAAAAAGAGATATTGAAAAAAGAAACGAAAAAAAAATATATGTATAATTAATGGATATGAATTAAAAAATTGCTTCTAATTCAAAAAAAAAAAAATGCATGTAAAATTATATATATGAATAAATATTAAAAAAAATATTAAAAATTTTCATCTTTTTTTATAATTCTCCATGTGTTGGTAATTCATCCTCGTCACTGGTTGTTGGTTGTTCATCTGATGATGAATACAATTTGCTTGTAATTGGATTTACAATAGCCTGTAGTTCATTTATTTTTTCTTCGAGATCTTCTTTAGTAGCAGAATTTGAAAATTCGTCAAGCCAATCAATAGTTTTCTTAATCGCATCTTTGATGGTTTTCTTATCTTCTTCACTGATTTTCTTTCCAAGTTCACTATCGCTATCTTCTATTTGACTTTTGGTTGTATAAACATAATTTTCAAGTTGGTTTTTTAATTCAATTCTTTCTTTTTGTATTTTATCTTCTTCAGCAAATTGTTCAGCTTCTTCAACCATTCGTTCAATATCTTCTTTTGAAAGACGTCCTTTATCATTTGTAATTGTTATAGATTCTGACTTTCCTGTACCTTTATCAGCTGCAGAAACTTTCATGATACCATTGGCATCAATTTCAAAAGTAACTTCAATTTGAGGTATACCACGTGGTGCTGGTGGAATTCCTGTTAATTCAAACTTACCAAGTAAGTTATTATCTTTTGTCATGGAACGTTCACCTTCAAACACTTGAATCAATACAACTGGTTGATTATCAGCCGCAGTTGAAAAGATTTGTGATTTTTTGGTTGGAATGACAGTATTACGAGGAATCAATTTTGTCATAACTCCACCGGTTGTTTCAATTCCAAGAGTCAAGGGACAAACATCTACTAATAAGAGATCTTCAACATTTTCAGCACCAGAAAGAATGCCACCTTGAACAGCTGCACCATAGGCAACAGCTTCATCAGGGTTAATATTTTTTGAGGCTTTTTTACCATTAAAGAATTCCTCGAGAAGTTGTTGAACTTTGGGAATACGTGTAGAACCACCGACCAAAACAATATCATGAACAGCCGATTTTTCAACATTTGCATCCTTCATGACTTTTTCAACAGGTTTTATTGTTTTACGGAAAAGATCATTATTCAATTCTTCAAATTTTGCACGAGTCAATGTTTCAGAGAAGTCCTTGCCATCAAAAAACGATTCAATCTCAATACGAGTTGACATTTGAGATGATAATGTACGTTTGGCTTTTTCAACTTCGCGCTTTAATTTACCCATTGCTTTCAAATCTTTTGTGACATCAACCTTATTTTTCTTTTTATATAATTTTACAAAATGTTCGATTACTCTATTATCAAAATCTTCACCACCCAAATGAGTATCACCAGCGGTTGCCAAAACTTCAAACACACCATCATCAATTGACAATAATGAAACATCAAAGGTACCACCACCAAGATCATAGACAAGAATTTGACGTTCACCTTTCGATCTATCAAGTCCATATGCTATTGCAGCAGCTGTTGGTTCATTTACAATACGCATGACATTAAGTCCTGCTATAACACCAGCATCTTTTGTTGCTTGACGTTGAGCATCATTGAAATAAGCTGGGACTGTGACAACAGCATGAGTAACTTTTTTACCCAGATACGACTCTGCAATTTCTTTCATTTTACCCAATATCATGGCAGAAATTTCTTCAGGTGTAAAAAGTTTATCTTCGCCTTTAACTTTAACAGAAATGACAGGTTTGCCATCTTTATCTATGACTTTGAATGGGAAATGTTTGAGATCGTTTTGAACATCTTTATCAAGAAATCTTCTTCCTATTAAACGTTTTACATCAAATATGGTGTTTTCAGGATTATTTGCAGCTTGATTTTTAGCTGCATCACCAACTAAACGTTCATCATCAGTAAAAGCTACAAAAGAAGGCGTGATACGATGTCCTTGGTCATTGGCTAATATTTCAACCCTTCCGTTCAAGTGTACGCCAACGCAAGAATATGTTGTTCCCAAATCAATCCCAATAACTAAATTATTTATTTGTAAATGATAATGATAATTAATGATTTAAATTTGATAAAAATATATATAAATATATAATCAACATGAAAAAACACATCAATTATATTTTAAAATAATAAATACCTGTACCAACATCCTCTGTTGCTGTTGTGTCTTCAGCCGGTACTAATGATATAGGTATTATGACTAGTATTAAACATAACAGTGATACTAGTTTGAAGAAGGTAGATTTCTTCATATTTATTAATATTATATTATTTTCGTTTTTGTTATGTATTTATGTATATAATATATGTGTAAATAAATCTTTTTATTAAAATTGTTTTTAAAAAAATATGTGTTGATTTTTTGAGAGCCTTTTATATATCAATAAATATTTGTATTTAGTGAAATGATCAGTGTTGGCAAAAGTTGATTGGATGAAATTGAATGTATAAAAATCGCACGTATTGCGTGGCAGTTCTTAATTTATTATTGTACACAAAATTTTTGACAAATTAATTTTCAATTCGTGTTTCTTTCGCATTTACAGACAGACACAACTATTTTTACTATTGCATTGGTCGGTCGAAGTTGCATGGCGTCATACAAATGGATCAACAAATCTAATTAATGAATGGCAGTAAAATATTATGATGTGGCTGCTTTTTTTTTTTGTGGCATTTCTTTTATGTTCTGATTATGTATTTTATCTCATTTAATGTATATATATAAAAATAAATTTTTTTTTCTTCAGGATTCATGTAGCCGTTCACAAAAGGATCGGCAATTCATCAATATTAATTTAATAGGAATATTGGAAGGAAAATTTTATGATAACCATTTTTCATCATTGGTAATTTGTTACCTTCAAAAATCTCTGTACTGAGATTATTACACTATACTTATTAGTCTTGCTATATTCAAAAATGAGAATATTACCATTTCGAAAAATGTAATTTTTATTATACCCGTTGCAATATGATAATTTTTGATCATGATTTTTTCATCATTGATGTTTCTTACCCTCAAAAAATCTCCTATAACGATAAACTAGAGACATTACACCATGCTATATTCAAAATTAGAACAATATCTCTCTTTTTCATGGATTAGTAATTTCGAAAAACGAGATTTTATTACACCTGGTAATTTTTGATCATGATTTTTTTCACCATTGGTATTTGAAATATCTCTGTACCGACCAACTTGAGATATTATGCTATAATATGTTCAAAAACGGGGTAACATATCTCTTTTTTGGACTGGTAGCATTTCGAAAATGTGATTTTTTATTTTCTTTTTTGCTTTAAAAAAAAAAAACTTATCGATCGACATTATGTGTTGTGACACCCAATGCCCATATTAATATTATAAGAATATTCTAAAAATTAAATAAATAAATAATATATTTACAAATCTAAAAAAATTAAAATGTCCATTGCAAAATATACTACACTTGAAGAATGAATAATAGAAAAATTATTGAATGTATTTTGATAGATTCCTGAAAAGGAGATTCACGATTTCAATTTTTGAATTTATAGCAAAAATAAAATTTTTTTAAATCTTACACCTCTCGCACACCTTAAACTCAGTCTACTTCTAGTTCTTCTTCTTCTACTAGCACAACTTCTTCTTCTTCTTCAGAAGGTTCAGCAAAAGCTCGCACAACAAAAAATCTAAATACATCACCTAATAAAAAAAAAGAAAAATAATTATTAATTAATTATTTCACGTAAAACTATTATTTCAATTATTTCATATAAATAAACATTATTAAATGCAAAATATTTTTTCTTCTCTATTCTTTTGTTTTCACAAATACATTTATACTATTATTGTTTTACATTTTTTTTTTTCACTATTGGAATATAATTATTGTTCCACCAGAATCTTGGTTGTGGTGGATGTGTTTTTCATACCCAATTTCCATGACGGGGTTGAATCTTGTTCTGATCCTATCGTTTCCCTTTCTCCTGTTTCTCCAGAGGAAAATGCTGAAGGCGGTATAGATCTAGATAAAGATTTTCTATGATTGGGTGTTGTTGGGGTCGGCGGTGGCGGCGGCGGCAGTATAGGAGATGTAATTGTTAAAGATGCTGTTGATATTGAATCAAATATTGGTGATACAATAGTTGGTCGTGATATTCTTCGATTATTAATTATTAAAGATTTTAGATATTTAATTTCTTTTTTTATTTCAGAAATCGATTGATTTTGTGATTCTTTTGTTTGTTCAAAAAACTTCAGTAAAAGATAAAAATAAATGTAAATATTAATAAAGATTATTATCAATTTTGGGAAGAATCATGAATTCGCTTACTTTTGAAATTGAATCTCGCACTTCGTCTATATACAATTTCACTATTGTAATCTCTCGATCTTTTTTTCCATCGGTCTCGCACAAATTCACGAGAACTTTATTTATTGTATTCAAAGTCTCTTTAACTTTAAATAAATGTTCCTCAATAGTTTTTTTGGTTAATTGGGTATCTGATTTGATTATTTCTAAATTTTTGGTGGTAAGTATAAATTGATTGGAAAGTTGCTGTTTGTCTTTATTAAAATTTTTTTTTGTTAATGTTTTAAAATATGGTAATATATATTTCTATAAATAATAATTATATTTAGATCAATTATAATTATTTAAACGCATATAATATATATAATATTTTAAATTTTAAATTTTTTACTTTAACAAAAACTCTTATCGCGTAACTTGTTCCACCAATTAGAATTGCTACAAAAAAATAATCTCTCCAATCTAATCTTGGAGGAGGTGGTGGTGCTCTTAGTATTATTGACGGTGTTCTATAAGAATTATTATTGTTTGTTTTATTTACTTGTAATGTCGTTATTTGTTGTGGTGGAGTATTGGTGATGGTTTGTGTAGTAGTAGTAAGTTGTTTAGTTGAAATTAGTGTAAGTCTAAGTGCTTCTTCAATTTCTTCAGAAGTTAATCCTTTAGATTCCAGAAAAGCAACACGTTTCTGAATTGGAGAAATTTGAACTTTTGGGTCTTTAAGAAAGTTAACAGCAGGCGCTATTAATTCTGTTCTAATTTGTGACATTTTCTTATATTTTTAAAAGACAATGAATGAATGAGGGTATAAATATGTAAATAAATGAATCATGAAAAAATCACGTAGTACAATTATATTCTATATTTATTTTATTTTTTTTATTTATTTTTCAGAAAATTAAAAATGTTTAAACGTAAATCTAATTCACCACCACCTCCAAAACCTTTAACCTTTAACAAAATGTTACAAGATTTGAAACAATTACAGCTTTACCAAGAACAACAATTAAGTTCGACTACTACAAAAGATGAAAATTATGTTGATGACATTTTGGATTTAATTGACGAATTAGAGATTGTTGATAAGGAACAAAGTAATAATAATAAATGTAATTTATTTATTAAAAAAATATTATTAATATTAATTAATAATTATATATAAAGCATCAAAACCCAAACAGAATCCACCACCAACAATATCTTCATTACTAAGTCAACTCAATTCGCTGTATTCTTCAGCAATGGCAAATACAACAGAAGAAAAAGAAACAGCAATTGAATCAACATATGATTTATGTACAAATTTCATAAATATAAATGATTATTTGAATAGTTCTAGACCTCAATTAGATAGTTTGGGATTAGAAATTGAATCAATCAGAAAGGAAGTAACTGAGATGATTGACATATTAAACAATGTTGTAGAAGATCAGGATGATATTGATAAAGATGTGGTAGAAGACGTTGATGATGATGATATTGTTGGTGGTGGTGGTGGTGGTGGATATAATCAAAGGTTGAAGGGAGAGAAAGAAAATTTGAAGAAAAAGAAGGCGGAGGAAGATAAAGAAAATATTAGAGACGATGATGATGATGATAATGATGACGATGATGAGGGAGGATGGAAAACTGATTGGTGATTTTAATTTATTGATAATTGATATATAAATTATCACTATCACTACAATTTACTATTACTATAATTACTATTAATTATAACTATGTTAAAAATAAATAAATTAAAGATGACGATTTATAAGATTATCTCATGAATATTATTATTATGTCATATTAATATAACTTAACAATATGATAATAGATAGATTCTTTCTTGTATTTTTTTAGATAATAAACAATCTGTCGATTATCAAGTTACACGACATTGTTTGTACCTATACAATAAATTTTTTTCATAATTATATATAATTATTGCACATTAAAAACAAAGTCGCGTGTTCATTTCCAATTTCATATATATGACATAATTAGCGGAAGATTTATTCATTCATTTTTTGTTTTGTTTTTATTCCTTGTCATCATCTTTCCTACCAATCTTCGTTGTCATTGTTTACCCTATTATCTTTTATCTCCCTTTTTTTACTCCTTATTTTCCAAATTTCTTTACTAGCCGCTCAGAGATTAGTAATATTTCCAGAGCGTATATATATAAAAATAATCTTTTTTTTTGTTCAAAAAAATTTTTTTTCAAGAATATTTCTTTCTCCAACAATTAAAACAATCAAAACAATTAATAATTAAATAATAAGATGACGTTATTGTTAGACAATTTATTAAAATTAAATAGTATAAGTATTATTATTAGTTCACATCCATTTGCAGTAGCACTAATAATTGGAGCAATTATAACTGGTATTAAAATAAGTCCAACAATAGAATTTGTAGTTAAGGCAATAATCAGTTCAATTTTAGTGTTAATTTTTTCAGTATATGGTAGTTTTATTTCAATATTTTTTTCAATTATTGGTAAAAGAGGCTTGATCAATTGGGCAGTGGGGCGTTCATTTCTATTTTTTGCTAGCAGAGCTGTGGGTATAACCGTTAAAGTTGAAGGAGAAGAGTATCTCGATGTTCAACCAGCAATTTTTATTTGTAATCATCAGGCATCTGCTGATCTCTTGGTTTTGGGAAAAGTTTTTCCAAAAAATTGTACAGTTATCGGCAAATCATCCTTAAAATATGTTCCTTTTCTAAACTTGTACAGTAAGTAAATATAATGTTAGTGGTAATTACATAATGACAATGGCAGTTATCTAACGATGATATAGTAATACTATTGTCTAAAATAATACCCCTTTAATTATTAGTATTGATATTTGATCTTTCTAAAAATAGTTTAATAATTTATTTATTTTATACACATTTGTTAACTTTAGTGAAACTTGGTCAAGGAATATTTCTTGATCGTAAAAATCATCAAAATGCAGTACAAGCTTTACAAAAAGCTGCTGATGAAATCAAGGCAAAAAAAGTAATAAATTATTTTTTTAAAAAAATAATAATATAAATCAATTAATTTTATTAATTAATTAATTATTTACATCATCTCACAACCGTCCTACAACCAATCCATCGCACAATCACAATTTTTTTTAGACAAGCGTTTTTATTTTTCCTGAAGGTACACGCGCTCGTTTACAAGAAGCTGATTTACTACCATTTAAAAAAGGTGCATTTCATATGGCCGTAAGAGCCAAAATTCCAATTGTTCCAATTGTTGTTGGAAATTATAGTCATCTTTATGATTCAAAAAGAAGATTATTTAAAAGTGGCGAATTTCGAGTCAGAGGTATAAGATTATTACAATTATTTATTTATTATTTATAATAATTGTTATAATTCCTAATATTCTATTTTTTTTTCTTTTGAAAGTTTTACCACCAATTGATACATCAAATATGAATGAGGATGATAGAGATGAAATTAATAATCTTACAAATCTTACGCGTGAAGAGATGTTAAAAACATTAAAAGAGATATAATTTTTATAAAAAATAGATATATATATAGAAAATAGAATTTAATAGCAAGATTAGTTATTATATATATAATATTTTCTTTAATATCTTATTATTATTTATTTAATTTTAATCAATCCATCAACCCATCAATCCATCAATCAGTCAATCAATCATCAATCATCAATCCAATATTCACATCGTATATAAGAATCGACGAAAAAAGAAACTGTAATTATTAAATAAAATAAAGTCCAAAACCATCCAAATATTAAAGACAATAGACTATTATTGTTGTTGTTATTATCATGGTTAAAAATTAATTTTCTTTCGATTAATATTCCAATAAATTGTAACACGAAAAATATAATTTGTTCCCCTGGTATCCAACAATAATAAATTGCTGACCAAATAATAAATTCATGATGAATCCCACTCAATAAAAATATACCAAATACTAGCAATAATCTCTTATTCTTATTTTTACCGTTGTCATCACCTGAATTATTATAAATTAACTTGTAAATTAAAGATTTCCAAATATGTTTAAATGATTGGTTCCATCTTTTCCCCCAAAAGATTGATAAAGATGTCGATTTCCATGGATTATCAAATAATAACTTCCATTCTTTTTTATCATATTTTCCATTTGTAAATATTAATGATCCAATTAGTATTATGAATCTATTGCCAAATTCCATATTTAATTGCATGTAAAAACAAATTATTAAATTAATTAATGACCTTGAATGAAATTGCTTCATTGAAAATATTTCAGTCGCATTCAAACTCTTGATGAAATATTTATATATGATTATGTCTAATACTAAAATAAATATCATTGGCTTGATTAATGAATATGAAGGTGATTGTGACGATGCTGCGGGTGTCCGAGTTGATGATGATGGTAAATTACGAAATGGATATACTGCATCAGCTTTAACCTGTTCAATTGTTTGATAAATTTCTTTACTACTACTACTACCATTACCGATGCCCATGCCATTGCCATTATTATTATTATTATTTTTGTTGTAATTAAAGGTAAAAGGATCAACAAAAAATATGTCTAAATATTTAAGAAATGATGCCATTCCAATTGTAGAAAGTATAATATCAATTTGTAAATCGTTACTTGTAAACTTGATAGGAATAATGATTAATGTCAAGATAAATGGAATTGAAATTATCTGTTTCGAATTTGAAGAAATTTTACTTGTTGACGTTACTAATAAATATGTCAACACTAAAAAGGGCAGGATAAAACATGTTAATAAGAAAATTGTTGGAATTAATATTTTATTATTCAGTTTGTCATACTCTTTAGCCATATTTTAATATATTAAAGTGATTAATCGAAGTAGCTAATATGTAAGTGATGATAATAATAATGTACATACCATATATAGCATATAGTTTTGGTGTAATTATTGCCAAAACAGGCTGACTAATGATCAAAACAAATTGACGAATTGATGATAAAAAGAAATGTAACAATAATTGAGTGCTATAAATAAATATATCGAATAATAGCATTAATTCCTAGTGGTAAAATTCTATAATTTATTTTTAAAAATTAAAATAATTATAAAAATAATATATACAAATCTATAATATCTAGTTAAATAACGTATGGTATCTATCTAGATTAATTTTTCTTTTTTTCCAACTACCAAATTTTCCATTTTCAACAACTTTATTTATAGCGAAAGAAGAAGACTCAACATTCAAATGATGGTGATTATAAATTTCATTTGTAAATAAATTTTGTTTATACGATGAAACTGATTGTTTTTGTTTATTCAGTAGTAGTTGTTGCTGTTCGTGAAATTGTTGTTGAATGCCTTCTAAATTTAATATTGGGATCATAGAAGGTCTTTAAAACATAATAGACGATTAGTTAACAAATAAATAGGGGAGGTTATAATTAATGCAAATATTATTAGCAATTTAGTTACCTTCCATGTGCACATTGAAATGGAAATTCACATTTAGAAAGTTTAGCTATCAACTCTTTACACTGATCCAATGATAACTTGTCATTAAACATTATAGCACCTCTACAAGCTTTTGAATTTATTATATCTAAAATACCTCTTGGACATGTTCTAATCATAAATTGCCATTTTAGTTGTCGTTGCTGCTCATAATGAAGTTGACAATTATCATCATTATAATTGTTGACGAATCCTCCCAATCCTATACCACCTATCTCTTCTAACCAGTATAAATGTTGACGCACAAGTTCTTGAATTAGACGTGAATCACTAACACCATCATTACCATTACCGTCATTTATAGTAGATGTAGAATTATTAGATGTAAAATTACTAGTAGTGCATCGATCAAAAATTATTTTTGGTAGGTGAGTGATAAAAATTGGACAACAATCATTATCAGGATTGATGAACGAGTGGAGGTGCGTTGTAGATAAAAATGATGTTTGATTTGATTTTCTACTATTTTGATTTTCGCATGTTGCCTTTTTTAATTTATCATCATTTTCTTTTGATAATGTTGGCTTATCAGTAAAAAAAATTCCCCAGATATTAAAATATTTTTGAAATCTCCATGCAACTTTTGCTTCTCGATTAGTTAAAAAAATTTTAATCGGCGAACTGGTAAATTTAACTGTTCCAACCATAGAAATTTTTAATTCGTCATCGTCGTCATCATTGCCACCGCCAATATTGTTGATTTGCTTAAATTCACAAAATTCTTTCATAAACATTTCGACTCTAACACGTTCATCAGCAGCATGTTGATCTACAAGAACCAATATATATTTAACACTTCTTTTCCCCGTTACATCATCCCTGTCATTATCGTCATTGCTGTTTATAACACTATTATTATTATTATTATTATTATTATTAAGATTGTCAGTACATGGCAATTTACAAACAATAAATTTATCATCCAATTGCCCAATAACTTCCGAGCACTCGAGATCATGTTTGTTAAACCGATGTTCTAAAATATTTAATTTTGCAGAATTACTAAACGAGAAATGATTTTTGGAAGTTTCTGGCAGTAATGAAAAAGAAGATGATTGTGCTAGAGTTTTCATTGAAGGGATGTGAGGTTCCAAGCTTTTGAATACGGGATTTTTCCATTTCTGTTAAGATTATGATTATGATTGTAATTAATTAATAATTAGTTTGGAAGAGAGCAATGTATGCGGCGTGTAGATATATTTATGCATGTGTATATATATGTATAACCTGAAATTTTTCTTGAGCCCATGAAACTGATTTGTTATCAGAGCTGTGGCGATGACTTGAATTATGTGACGTACATTGGCTCGAGGATTTTGGACGATTAATTGATCGAATTGGTATAGTTTTGTATCTAAATATAAATATGATTGTTTATAATGTATTAGGATGCATATGAGCATTAATCGTAAATAAAATTTTTATATTCACGCTTACGTGTTTCCACTTTTTTTCTTAATAAAAAAAATATTTTGAATTGGATTATTGACATTTCGTTTTGTAGCAACAGCATCAGTAAAAGTAGGAGGAGTCGTTCCTTTAAGTTCTGAATCTTGAAATTTGTATTGTCTTAATCCACCACTTTTTACGTGAGCGACATCTTCAAAAGAAGGCGGTAAATCAAGTTTATAACCACCGCCGCCGCCAGTAGACATTTTAATATCGTCATTAGGATTATTAACACCAGAACAACAAAAGGTATTTTCAATTTGTGATGTTGGAATTTCTTTCATTAAAAATCCATGATTTATTAAAAATTGTTGTATTAGGTTAGATATTACGTTAAATATTTTTGACCAGCTCTAAATACAATAATTTAATATTAGATATAATTAAATTGTGCTATGATCAGTTAGAAAGGGGGAAAAGAAATGTCACCTCAAATTCTATGACACTTTTATCAGAATCATAACATATATCATAATACGTTGTAGGACAAGTGAGATGAATAACAAAGATACAATATCTTTCTAAAGATCTAGTTACATGACTTTTACCTGCAATCATAAATATTTTGTGATGAACATAAGAGTGAGCGAGGAATGTGGGTGAAAAAAGAATGAATGGGATGAACGAACTAACAAACTCACGAGATTTATAAAGCAATTCTAAATCAGATTCTAAACGTGATGAAGAAGATGATTGTTCGTCCTTATTCTAAAGAGAAAAATTATGTTTATAATAAACAATGATTAATGAATTAAATAGTAATGATGATATTGTTATTGTTATTACTATCAATCAAATTTTACCTTTTTTGCAAAACTACTTTGATTAAACAAAATATTAACTAATTTGTATATCTTGTTATAAGACATATAACGATTGTTGACATCTATCAATAGTTAGATATCATTATTTAACGACAATAACATAATATAATAAAGAAATAGAAATAGAGGAGGGTTTTCATGTAGAAAAATTAAACTTACAAAAATATTGATGTTGCTTTAAATTAAAAGTTGCGTATTTAGTACCATTGATATGTAGTTGTTATTAATATAATTATTCCAACATAAATCTAAAAATACCTTTGTGTGAAAACCTTTTAATGAAATAAATCCTTCAACTTTGAAATCATGGTCTTTAATATAAACAGGTTCAAGGTTCTAATAAAGAATTGTTAAGGAAAGAAGACACGAGATTTAATTATGTATTTAGACATTTGACAATTTTTAAACATAAATATACTTACTTGAGCTAATGTTGCGCCAAAAAGTTGTCTAAATATGGAAATACTTGATGTTACCTATATATATATATATATATATATGTAAGATAAAGAAAGACATAATATAATTAACCAACACAATGATCAATATGAATCGGCAGAAATAGTAATAACAATAATAATAATAATAATTAATACCTTTCTAGTTGTAACTATTTTAGCATCTTTTGATGAGTCGACTAGTGTGAATGTGACATTTGGATGTATTAATGCCATGACGTTTATAGTTCTTTTGACACTTTCTAAATCGTTGATCATTGAATTAGCAGATTTATGTTTTCTACGTACTGGATACTTTTTTTAATTTTTTAAGTTGGGAACATAAAATATAATTAGTAAATCGGTTTAAAGACATTGGAATGAATAACCGAATGAAATAATTACGGAGTAAAATAGATCTCTGATTATGATGACCGTTCCAGGAATTTTACGTTTGCTGTTACGAGTTGGACCATATTGAAGACGATTGCCACCCTAAAAAAAAGATCAGATGAATTCTCACATTTACCGGTTGATTGAGTAGCTATCAACAAACCGATCAACCGATCAAGCAAATGTTGAACTTACTTTAATTATGGTGCAATATGTGTCAAAACAATTAGAATGTTTACTTATTATTTCCAAAATTGAAAGTTCAGCAATATTTGCCAAAGCTATTATTGTTTTGGGGGAGGATTAAAAATAAGAAGGTCATGAATATATTTTATTAACTATTAATTAAGCCTTTTGATGAGTGATTTGAACCTTCTCCACGAAAACCATAAGTAGTAACATTTTTCAAATCATCCAATGTGTGACATTTAGATGTTGCTATAATAGTAATTTATGAAGTTGAAGAAGGTGGATAAGTGAATTGATAAAAACAAAAATAATAAATCACACTATGAATAATAATAATTTCATTCATTTAATTCAGTACCATAACGCTTTCCAATGTTATTCATATCGTCTGGAGGGATTCCTGTTCCATTATCAATAATCTGGATAAAATATTTGGTTACATCAACATGAATCTCTATGCTGGTAGCAGAAGCGTCAAGACCTAAAGTAATGTGAAATTATTTATAGCTGTAAATTGTACAAATAAGCAATTCTAAATAATAGGGAAAAAGGAAAAAAAAGAACCATTTACTGTTTTGGACTAATTCAGCAACACATTGAGATAAACAAGTTATGAGAGAAGCACGTAATTTACGAATAGTAGTATCGTTTAAAATACGAATGGTCATTTTTAACAAAAAAAAAAGGTTTTTTTAAAGATAGATTGATGCTTATAAAATTATCGTGTATATTAAAATAGTTAGTATTAGTAGTGCAACATGCATAAAAGAAATTACGATAAAGCGATAATACTTTTTTATTTATTTATTATTATTATAATTATTAAAAAAAAGAAATGGAAAAAAATACAATTAAGAATTAACAAATTTTACAATTAACTATTATTGTTATTAGATCAACTAACAAAAAATAATAAACGATACTCCAATAATTAATTAAATAAATTTTAAAGAAATTTTATAGAAATTCACGATTATCTTGATAGAAAGCTAGACAAATATTTTTAATTTCGCTGGATAAGCCCAAGAGATTCACATTTTTCATTACGTCATAATAATTGTCTATGTTCAATTTATCATAGAATCTATCCTCGTCTCCAAAATAAAAAAATTCCAAGATTATTTCGAAAGTATCGGGTGATGGTAAATTGATTTTGATAAGATCGCCTTTCTTGACTTTCTTTTTTGTAAAGATGTCGCAGAAGTAATTAGATTGGAATTCAAGATATTCCTTGTGAATAAAGAAAGTTCTTTGCTCATTGATGTTTAATTCCGCGTATGCTGTAGATGGATCATTGTAAAACATCGAGCCCATTTCATGTAATTTTGAGACTAAGTATGGGACTGGAATTTCAACTGATTGTTGTTGGTTCGACATTTTTTATTTTTTATATAAAGAAATGTGAATTGTAATTAAAAAATTATATTTTATGCGTGTATGTTATATAAGAAGTGAAATAGAATCGAGGATTTAATAATTATTAATTTTGATGAATTATTAATTATCAAAAAAAAAAAATTCTGTAAAATTTTGAGCTGTATTTATTTATTTATTTATTTCTTATTATTCTGGAATGAAAGAAAGATATGAATTCACGTCCACACATTGCCTTTATATAACCACCGAAATTATAAGAAAACTATTAAACCTTTTCTTGGTTATAAGTTAATTAGTAGTTAATATTGTTTCTTTACAAACTGAAACCAGAAAACAATGAATTCCGGTAAAAAAACGATTTCCGTTAAATAAAGAATTAAATTATTACCAATTTTATGTTCATTCATTATTAAACGGGTTTATTTTTTTGTGTGTAGACAACGAAAACATGTGTGCATATACAATATGCGCATTGACAAAATATAAAATTTATATTAGAACTAGTATTAATAAATACACTAATGCTAGTATACCTAATCCTAATAAACCAAGATCGATCAATAAACTAATATTAATATAGACATAAAAACAACAACAAACAAATTCAAACTCAAAATAAATCCGTTTTTTTTTTTAATGTCCACGTTTCGAAAATTTTTTTTATGTAACAAAATTATTTTTACCAAGATCTTAAAAATTTGGAGGTTTTATGATGATTTTTTTTATTTTGAATTAAGATTTTTAACGTTTGAATTGTTTGAATTGTGCAGATCATGCGTCGAAAAAAAACAATAATATTAAAAATGAAATACAATGATTGTTATATTATGATCTTCGTCACGTGAGACATAGACAATGGTTTATTATTAAAATTTTGCTATTGTTGTTAGTTTCAAACTTCTGAAACGTTATCATTAGACTTATTTTTTTATTTATGATTTATTTTTATTTGTGATTTATTTTTATTTATTTTATTTTTATCAACTATTTCCAAATTTAGAAGATAATATAAAGTTGCAAAAAAAATTGAAACTTTATTGTTTCGAATATGATGTCAAATGGAGGAGGATGAATGAATTATTTGGCCTAACTTGGTTGGTTAATGATATGAGATATATATAAGTGTTAAAAGTTTGAAACGTGGAAATAAACATTTACATCCAAAAACATGAAATCAATAATGAAATAGGCATCAATGAAAGAAATAATGAAAGAAATGAGAAGTTCAAATAAATCAACCAGGAGATAAATTTTATCATCTTGAAACATTTGCTTGAAATAAAAGATCTTAAAGAGTATTAAAAACATTAATTGATGATAATGAATGGTAATTAATTGTCCCAGGGTAAAGAAAATATTTCATCGGGTAGAATGTGAACCGATGGCTCCGGGTTTTAAAATATCACTGGGCAGTTTTATTACTTTTTTTGGATATTTTGCACCAATTAAATATTTTAACCGAAACAAATAATGTGGCTGATGCATTAATATGACTTGCCATCTTTAGTTTTTAAGGATTTAATTTGTTCTATCAAATAGTATTGATTAAATAGATTATTAATACTATTAATTTACAAGGGATCAAATAGTATGAGAGAAAATTATTGTTATTATTATTTGATTTTATTGGTTGTAAATGTGAAAAATTAAATTTGGGTTTATCCTATGGAAAGTGTAGATCACGGCAATAATACATCAATTTCATTCTCATTCTACTGCTACTACTGCTTTTATTAATAACACATTTATTCGAGGAAAATAAATTATGTTACTAAAATTGTAATACAAGTAGAAAATTACTATATAAAAAATTCTTTGTCATGCATATTCAAATTAAATCTGAATGAACATTGCTTTTACACTTGTTAAAATTTGATCTCTTGATTAGTAAGAAATTGCTACATTAAAGATTTTGTTTCTAATAAACTTTACGGATATTGACAACTGCTTGATGATATAAACAATAACTTTTCTTTAATAAGCGAAGGTTACCACTTAATTTCATTTCTAATAAAATTCAAGTAAGTTTACCTCTGATGACAAAAGTAAAAACTATACCTTTTGAATATTTATGACTATTGGAAGTGTGGTTTACATATTTTCAAGGTTACATTGTGGCGCCATAATTATTTAGTGTCATCAAGATTCAGTTAGACAAAAGAAAAGACAAATTAGTAATTTTAAAGTGTTGGTGTAAGTAGTGGCAGTAGTAGAAGCAGTAGTAGAGACAGTGTCATTATAAAAAAAATTGATTTTTTTCAAGTTCATGGTAAAGGATTGGTGAGAGATTTATATGAGAGATCTGCGAAAATCATGATAACACTCGGTAGAGTAAGTCTAATTTAGACAATGAGGCATATAACAATCGAGCTTGCTACAGTATGTTTCAAAAAAAATGGTGGTTTTTAAAATATTGTTTTTAATGAAAAGGTAGCCAAAATTATGTAATAAAAATTATACAGAGAATTGGAAAATCTTAGATTATAACATAGAAAAGTTTTAAAGTATATTGTTATGTAGGCTTTAGAGCAATTATTAAAGAAATTTACACATTTGAATGGTTTTTTCAAATAATCAAATACCTTTTATTTTCAATTGACAAAATTCTAGAAAATCTGAAAGTGTGAAACTTTATATACATAATCTCTAGAACTTTTGCTACAGACTAGCTGGTATAATTTTTTGTATAATTATTATGTATATGTTTGTGTCAGGGCTATCATTAAAAAATTCCATGTTAAAATTTCAGACAAAAATTTAGCAATGTTCTAAAAAAATATATGAATTAGCTTTATTAGCTTTACAGAAAATTATTTTTTATTATTTTCCAATTTTATTCAATTATGTTGTGTAGAGATATGTGATATTTTTGTGACCACCATTTTTTTTGAAACACACTGTATATCAGGAATAATCAAAATATCAATTGTAGGAACCTAGACTTTCCAAATATTATTAACGAGAGAAGAAACCTGACTGCATCATTAGAATATCCACGAATATTTTGATCCTAAAACTAGAAAACTCACTTATATGACTCTTTTAATGGTTTATCCTATATATATAAAAAATATAGTCTACCCCAAATAATACTTTTGAAAATTTCCACGAATTCGCGACAATGGCAAATTCTTCTGTAACCTTTCCATGATTTTTCCATAATATGTTATCACGGGTTAGTTTTTTTTACAGGGATATAGATCACATATTACAACATCAAATTGAAGAAGAAAGAGGTGACAATCAGACTGCACCGCAACATGCACCGTCAACAATCAAGCTGTTAATCCATAATTGATGTATTTTAATGAAACCATTATGTAATCTCTAGAATGTGGTGATACACCAACTGGTGACATATTTGAGAAAAAATAATCTCCGCGAACAAAAAGCATCAAACCCCTACCTCCGCATTAGTTTTGACTTTTATTATTTGATCAAGCAAGACCTTCAGTAATTAATATTAATTATGCCTGTCGTATATAAATAGAACAAAATAGAAAAATAAAAAAAGAAAATACATTCCACAATAGGGGACGTGCATATATTATTATATTATGGAGAAAACCCCCCTCAAAGTCCAAGTTTTGAAAAACGCATGTTATTAATATATAGAGTTATGGAAAATGTTCTCTAAAGGACAGACAAATAAATCAATTGCTCTCTCTTGTTGACGTAATACAATTTTTTTTTTACTTTGCCATAAAATGAGAAATTCAATTGTGGCTGGCACAACCCATTGTGACACATTCTTGTGGGCGCAATACCAATTTTTATTTCTGCGTGAATTAATATTAAAATAAAGAAAACCCCGCATAATGAAAATTCAATTGTGGCATAAAACACCTGCGTGTTAGGCTGAGGTGGTGAGAATTACCATATTTGCAACCTACTTGACGATGATATCATACTTCATTGACGACTATCCATTCTGCATAATAAGCCACTATAGAATACTCTAAAAATCTCAATTGCCAAAAAAAAAGAGGAATGGAAAAAAAAATTTTTCCGTATCGGAAAAACGGATATCAAAAATGATAAATTTAGTGTTATATAGAACAATTTTTTATTTATTTCTCGGTTCATGTTTAAGTCTTTATTTATTATTATTATTATTTTGTTTATTTTATCTTCCACTTCTCCAAAAAACAACAATTTATTTTTTAATTTTCCCTATAATAAATTTATAACAATATAGTAATAGGCGTATATTTTAATAATTGAAGAAAAAAAATCGAGAAAATGTGCGGGCGAGAAGTTCAAGAAAACAATAACTTATTTCGTTTAATTTATCCTAATGGAAAAAAATAAAGCAAACAGGAAAAATAAAAATGATAATGGTAATGATAATAATGAAAATTGGATAATGATAGTAATAATGATATGAAAATTTCAGGAAACATGGCATTGTGTAACTATTCTTTTTGTTCTAGTTTTCCAAATTTTCTTAATAATATAATATTAATATTATTAATATGTTTGAAATCCAACGGAACCAACCGAATGCATGATGGCATTATTATTATTATTGCTTTACTATTATTATTATTATTATTATAAGGAGAAGGATTTTGGAGGAGCAAAAGAAATTTATTAAAAAAAAAGGAACCAATAAATTTGTTGCGTAAATTATAAATTATTCAAACTAGTTTATTTATTTATTTGATTGGTTTATTTTTTATTTATTTATATGTTTTTGAATTCATCCATTCTAATTTCCATCATTTACTCAGGAAGGAATCAAAAATAATAAATAAATGCATTCATGTGGTTCATGTGGTTTAGATATTTTTTACACATGGGTTTACTATGACAAACACATTTTTTTATGACAATTCAACACATTTTTAACACATTTTTTTTTTTTTTTACAAGGAAAAGTTTTTATTGTTTTTTTTATTTATTTTTAAATTAATTTTTTTTTGTTTTTTGTTTTTGTATTTTTTAAAATTATTTTCATATTTGCTTTTTGCAAATGAAAGAAAATATTGATTGATGCGCGTGTGATGGGAGAAAAAATCATACAAAATTGATGTTAAAAAATTGTTGTTCGGAAAATATATAATTAGCTTAAGGGGGGGGGGGAAAGGTTGATGATTGATGTAAAAAAGTGATTGAATGATATGAAGAAATATGCGAAATGTCTTTGTGTGATAAATATGATTAAATGCGATTCTATCTATCTATATATATATATAAAATCTTTACAAAAGAATATGATAAATGATTAATGAAAAAGTCTATATATGTTATATGTGAAATATATATATATATGTAAAGCTCAGCTTTTTTAAAAAAAAAGTCCATAATGTAAAAAAAAATGCAAGAAAAAAAAAAAATCTAAAATCTAAAAAATTTGAAAATTTGTTTGTGTTTGTGTTTGTGATTTCTATTTAAAATTTTGAACGAAAATCAAAATTTTAAAAAAACGAAGAAAATAAATTAAAAAAAACGTCATGTATTATTTGTATTTACATTCTAATTGATTGCCAGATTATGCCAGATGCCAAATGCCGAATGAAATAAAAAATGAAATAAAAACGAAAATAAATAAATGTTGTTGTTGTTGATAATATTATATTAAATGTTGATTATTATTGTATATTAAATATTAAATTACTAAAATAATACTTTTGATATATATAATAATATTATTATATTATTAGTCATTATCATTAGTCATTATCATATTATATTAAGTATTAAGTATTAAGTATATTAAGTATCTATAATTAACTATATGAAAAATTGCCAAATCCAGTTGGAAATTTTTTCTAAAAAATTGTTTTTATTTACAAAAAAAAATCAAAAGTGAAAAATAAAATCAATGTCCATGCACAGAAATAAAATCAACGAAATGTTCTGCCAACTTTAACCCAAGTTAATCTAACCCAAAGTTTGAAACCGACAAAACTTTGTTTGTATGAACTGCTACTATTTGATTGTTGTGAATTACGTTTTTCTTTTTTGTATTGTTTGCAATCTGTGTCGTAACAACATTGATTATTGTGATGATGATGATGATGTGGGAAATTTGAAGGTGATGAGAATGAATATTGGTTTTGTTGTTGAAATTGTTGTTGTTGGACGGGATATTGATATTGTTGGTATTGTTGTTGTTGATGATGATGATGATGTTGTTGTTGTGAAGGATATGGTAAGGGTGATTGTGAGTAATAATTAACGTTAGTGATGTTAACATTATTTTTGTTATTGTTATTTAATCCATTGTTGTTATTGTTAAGAATTAATTGATCACAATAAACTATTGAACTTCTTCTTGACGAGCAAACAGTTGTTGGTTCGGTTATTGAAGATGAAAATTCAAATTCAAAATCGTGTGGTAGACCGCCAAAAGTGCTGTATAATATTTGATTATGGTGGTTGTTGTGATGGTGGTGTTGATGATTATGGTGACTACTGCTATTACTGTTGCGTCTTTTGAATGGATTATGGATTCTACGATTTTTACGACCTGAAAGAATTTTTGAAGCCTTCATGTTTGAAATTTTGGTTTGAATGAGAGTTTGTTATTTGAAAATATATTTTTTAAAAAAGTTATTTTTTCTAAAAAAAAAAAAAGTTGTATATAAACGTTATGTTTTTTATATGATATTATTTTTTTTGTTTGAAAAAAAATATTTTTTTTTCTTTGTAATAGTTGTTGTTGTTGTTATTATTGATATATATAATAACGTATAGGTAAATTATTTATTTACTCTTTGTTTGAAGTTTTTTTTAAAAATTGAGAAAAAAGATAAACACTTTAATTTATAGGATTTTTTTTTCTAAAAAAATATATATATATACAACATGTATATAAATAAATATAAATATATATTTATTCATGGTTACACGGAATTTGGTAAATTAAACTGTATATATATATATATAATAATTATGTAAATTATTATTTAAAATACATGTATTTATTTATTTATAAATAATATTTAGTGTAACAAAAATAGTTCGGGAATTTATATTGAGATAATAAATAGACTGAGTATAATAAAAAATCAATCCGTGAATCAATCAATCATATTAAATTTGCATTAATTTCAACACATTTTCACTCGAGGATTTTCATGAAGAATGTTAATTACGACTATGACTGAAAGTCCATATAAGCAAGCATCCTAATACTAATAATATATTAGCTAGTTGGAAAGTAATTAAAAACAAAATTTTATGTATAAATTTAATTTTTTATAGTAATTTTTAAATTTTTAATTAGTTTTATTAATTTTTATTATCGCATGAATAAATAAAACAACACATGCACACACGACTAATTATCTATCTGTCTGTGTTCGATTACCAGTATATTAACTAATCAACTGATTAATATTGTCCATTTGGAAGATTCTAAATTAATAATATAAATAAAAAAATAATGTTATTTTCAAATGGGAAAAATAATCTTACATAAAGTGACATAACGTAATACTTAACATTACAATTTTCCAATTCTTCTTTCTTTCTACCAAAAATGGGTAACGATAAAAAATATCAAATATAATATAAATAATAATGTACTAATGACAAATTATTGGTTTATTTTTTTTATTTTTTTACAAAAAAAAAAAAAAAAATTCAATTTTCAAATTCAAAAATATTCATGTATATGTACGTTGTTTTACTTTTTTTTTTTTTTAAAAAAAAAATTGCTTTTGGTAAACCAAATATGTAAATGATAATATTTGTAGAAATATAAATAAATATATTAAAATAATATAAATATATTTATCATACATACTTCTACATACGTACATTCATAACATCCAATACATCTAATACACCCTACCACTACTATTCACATTCGCCATAGCATATCAGCCATTAAATGTCTGTTCGTTTGTCTGCATTAATAAATTCATGTGGATAATTTATATGTAATTATAATTATGTGAATTGAAAATCCCGTCACTCCAATCGGTTAATGCCATAGATTTATTGGTTGGTTCTTATGAAGTTTTAACGACTTATCTAAAACATTAGTTAATGATTTGATAAAGCATGTTACAACGCATTAACAAACACACACAAACTACCATTTATAAAAATAAGAATTTTGTAATGATCATGATTAAAATAAATAATAATAATAATAATAATAATAATAATAATAATAATAATAATAATAATAATAATCGTAATAACAATAATAATAATAATAATAATAATAATAATTAACCATTAAATTAATAATAAGTGATAATATTGATAAATAATCTTGTGTTTGTAATTTCTCAAGTATTTATTGTATTTACCTACTACTACTACTACTAATTAATCAATCAATCAGTTAATTTTTACATATATGGAAGAAATGAATATCTTTAACAAATCACTTACCCGATAGAGATAAGGATAATTCACAACAACCATTTTGAATTACAAACAAAATAATGACAAATCCACACAATATTAAGTATTCGTGTTATCTACATATTTATTTACTGTTTATTGTTTGATTGCTGGTTGCCAACTGAATTCATTTGTTCCTGTTAAGAACTAATTGAAACTATTTTATCCAAATTAGTAATGATTTTTAACATATGATTGATTTATAAATAAATCATTGTTTAAAAATAATTTAAAATTTATTATTTTTACCACCATTTCCATTTCCCTTGTTTGTTAGCACGAAAAATAATTCTCTTTTCAATTTAACCCAATTTGATCCAATTCGATTTGATCCAATTCAATTCAGATCAAATCAAATCACTACCAATAATAACAACCTACTAGCTATTACCGCTAAATTATCTACAGCCTTTAATAGTAACAGACTAAAAATCTGCAGCTTAAATTTAAATTTTTAATTAAGTCACATGATCAAATATTGTTATGTCCAAAAAGGAAATTCAATTAACATAAATTTCTATATTCATAATTGACTAGAAACAATTTTTCAAAAAAAAATTGAGAATTATAATCATTGTTATTTTGCGATGAATCAAAGAAAATTTAAAACATTCAAGGAGTAGAATATAAGTTCTTCTTAAATTCTTAAAATACTTTCTTCGTTCTTCCCCACATTTCTTCTTATTTCTTCTTGCCAATAAAATAAAATTGTTTAAAAATGGTTAATAACACCTAAATTTCTTATTTTGTCATTATTTATTTAGCTTACATCATTCATTGTTCAAATCTGGAGTTGTCATCGTCATCGTTATAGTCGCCTCAAAGATTTAAAGCCTCAATAGTTCATTTGTTTATTCATTCAAACTTACTCAAATTCATTCATTCACAAATAAATAAATAAATAAATAATCTTTACTCGCGTTGATCTATTCCTTTTCTTCTTCACGGCATTCTAATTTTTGTTGCTGTTTTTTTCGAGAAATAATTTATCTTTTTTTGTAATTTTTTCTGCATCTTTTTGACTCACCGTTATATTGCATATTTGTTTGTCCTTTTGGCGTGGCTTCTTTTTTTTTTGGGGAGAGGCTAAACAGTTTTTTCTTCTTTTTTATTATTTCTTTGACGTGTTTTTATCCAATTGGATAATTTATAATTTTAGAAGAAAGGAAGGAAAGAAAGAATTATGGTGGAGTCATAATTTCTGCTCTATAGAAAATTAATGAGGTAAAATAATTGCTTGGCACACCTTTTTTAAAAATTAACTTAAAAATCACTATTAGAGTTATAGAGAATACATAGAATAATTAAGTAATTTTTGGCTTGAATGGAAGAAGGAGAGTTGTTTGCGTGTAACAACAAATAATACTACAAATTTGTTGATAATTTCTATATCTAGTACCATTAATTTCAGGTATTAATTTTTGCTGTGCATAATAACAAATAATATTCCTCCCACGCCAATGCAAGCGCCTTCCCGCTGTTAAATCCAACACGGATGGCTTATAGTGCGACTAAATAACTATCATTACATTACAGCAATAGCAATAATAACAATCAAGGCGATGAAGATTTACAAATTAATTAATTATTTAAACTATCCAAAATAAAATCCAAAATTACCTCTCCTCATCGGTTCAACTTTTTCCTTTTCTCCATAATCAGCACTGTATACCGTAACATAAAAAATTATTCTGTGTAGCAAATTGTTACATAGCTGTGTTTGACGTGGATATATATAAAAGTTGAAAACTTTACATTGGTATATATAATAATGATGATCTCTTATTTAAAGCAATCTTAAGTTTCCCTTTGATCTGAAACTTGCCCCTGTCACTAAGTTAATGGTGCCTTTCATGATTACTTTTCAGGGACGATGGATCCTGAACATAGTAACACCTTGAAAAATAAAGAAAGAACAGCTCTCACACCGGCCTGAATTTTTTTCCATTGCGTCATATCCTTCAGGTTAAGGGAAATCATATTAGCTTTTTTGTAGTAGGAGAAATATCAAAATAACATAACAATTAAAATTGGAAATACCGCTTCCAACCAAGTAGATTGACATGAAAAATGTATATTCGTGATCATAATCTTTTATTGGTGAGTCAAACACATACATATTAATATATAGATACGTTGAACTGTTACTTTATGTAAAATTAAATTATCTGATGATTTTCATGTGTATATTTTTACTGAGGTTCTTTTTCGGTTATTAATTTAAAAGCCTTAAAAGGTGGCTGAGAAGGTGCAAAAAATATTGTAAGCCTTCATATGGTATTATTACTTTATGGGAACATAGAAGAATTATGATAAAGTCACGTTGGCCTTTTATCAGCCATTCTATGATGCAAAGATATCCAATAATAAAGATTAAGCTTATTAGATGAATATCAATATCCAGTAGCTTAATTGTTAGAAGGAATACTACTAATGGATTATTAAAAGCATGATAATGAATGACCTTGCATTAAATTTATTGTCAAAAAAAAAAAAAAGTTCCTCAAGAAAAGAACCTAAGTGAGCTTCTATTTTTTAAACAAACTAAATAGTTAATAAAAAAGTACAAATACGTTTGTTGGTGCGTTACCTTCAGGTTATCAAACAAAAAATTGGACCGATTTAAATAAATTATCATAAGTATAAGATATTGGGCGTGCAGCGGTCAATATCATGACATCCTGGATGTCACTGAAATTGTCCATCGCACGCCTAATATCGATGTTATCGGGCAATCACTATTAAGCTATTCTTTCAAACGTCACTGTTTATTAAAGTTTAATTATATGATTTAGTTATATCTTATAGAAATGTTGTATAAATAGTATATCGATCATATTGACGTCATTTTGTGCCTAAAATAACAAAGCAACCAAAAATAGCTTAATAGTGCTGTTTGCCCGATAACATTATTTAAAAATCGCTAGGTGATAATTGTATTTATTGCTTAGTATCAGAATATTATTAGAATAGAAGAAGATATTATGATAATGACAAAATTAAACGAGCCATTGGAGTCTTTACAACAAACAAATCGTAATAATTCACCCAAATTTTATGTTAAAAGATATTTTTATTGGGAGGCAACAAAATTTTGGGTAAACAATGTTTCTTTGCAAAAATGCAAGGCTAAGCTAGAACGAAATAAATTTATTAATTAATAAAACTTGACTTTAATGGATAAAATAAATCGATTAATTGACTAATAATAATAACACTATATGACAGATACTAGACAAGTTTACGTGGAACGTAAATAATTAATCGGTAAAAAGGTCTAATTTTATAATTCTATCTAAATTTGATCGAGTTCTACTCTTGGTTAATGGTATTAGTATTGTTCCGAATAAGAAGGGGAAAATCAAGATAGCGATGATTAATAAAGTTAAACATTTTTTCAACATTATTTAACTCAATTTTATGTATATGTTGGCCGAGATGAATTTATCAATCAAAGTAAGGCTGGTTGAGGTGCACTTTCATCAACTACTCTACATGTTTGACCACAACATGCCCAGAGTTAAACTCATTATCAACAACGTCACAAGGCGCACCATCAAATTTGCATATAGCTGTAGTTGTCGTGGTTGTAGTGGTGGCGGTGAGAACAGTTGTAGTTATATCATTTGGACTTGGTCTTTGTCTTGATTTTGGTCTTAGTGATGGTTTCAGTATTTTAATCGGGGGATATTGCTATCGTAGTGTTGGTAATGTGCTTCAATATTTGATGTCAGCAAACAAAAATAAATAACAAAAAGAACGTGGAAAATACATTGTGTGTGTGAATGATGGCTTGCTAAAATTAAATAATTGTGTGTTTTAAATAAATGGTTTCATGTAGGATATTTTTTCTTTAATAATGAATGGTAAGTTATTGATCGGTATCGAAGAAAACAGGTCGTATATATATATATATATGAATAGTAAATTGTTTTTACACACTTGACTTTCTATTTCCCTCAAGGAAGGTAGGCATCAAGTGAAACTAATTTCTCAAAGATTAAAAGTATGCAGGAAGGACATAAAATCTGACAAGTCCTTCATACTTGCTTGAGTGGGGGAAAAGAATTTATATACCTTGTTCTTTTTAATAAAATTAATAAAATCAATATAAATTAAATTGTCCACGTTTAAACTAATAATTCAATGACATTTCATACAATGTACAATACATCCAATTAATTTTTAATGTCTATTTAATTAATCAAATTAGCAAAAACAACAACAGTAAATTTTTTTAACATTTGAAATGTTTCTACTAATATTTATCTTGAGCATATAATAAAATTCTTTTAATATAATGATTTTTATAGTAATAAATATTATTCTTTTTGGATTTTCTTGTTATCTGGAGTATAAATCATCCGAGTTGTCATTGTCGTGACTTGATTATCAGATTCAGACCACAGAAAATCATTTATTGATTTTGAACTTTCTAATAACAGAAGCTAATATGAAAATGAAAATATTATTATATATTCTATATTTTTTGAGAATCTGCCTATTGCTATACAAACCTCATATTTTAATAGGCCTATCACTGTCTCATGTGCTTTAAACATATCTTTCCATGTTTTAGGCATTGGAAATCTTAATATTTCTTCCATAGTGTAAATTTCAGAATAATTGAGTTTGAATTCATATATAATTAATTCATATACTATAAATGTCAATAATTAGTCAGTAAAAACAAGTGGTGATAACAAAATGATAATAATAAAATGGCAATGAATATTTACAATATGATTGCATTCCGTATAACCTAACCATTCTAATGTCAGAATTTGGACAAATTTTTACAAGCCTTAAAGTTTTTAGCATTTTTGAAATCTTCATTCGATCACCTTTGAAATGGGTCCAGTTTTTTTTCGATGGAGGTCCACTTACTTCAATGACTGAAAACTCTTCATCTTCCTCCCTCAAAGTAATGATTGTATCGATTTTCCTTCCAGGGGATCGATTTTTATCATCTACTTTCTGGGAATTGCGATCTTCAGAGCTTGCCTTAAGGCATGTCTTGCCATTTTTTTTTGTTTTATAAAAATTTCATTAAGGATCGGTGTCAAAACATATACAATGTAACTTCCTTCAGACATAGGTTCGGAAACTAAATTAGTATCATCCTCCATCAGTTTTATCCTGTGTAAGCAAAGGTTAGTTTTATTATATTTATCTCATCAAGGATCAATCAAATATAGGAAAAGACTCACATATGATCAACAAAATGCAATGTAAAATGGTTTTCAAACGAATCAGCCGAATGTTTTCCTAAATTCGTTTTAGTCTCATTTATCTCACGATTAACAATACTACGCAATACCGACTTGACATTTTCATCATTTGTATATGTAATTTCTCTTTTGATATCATTGTGCATTTGTACAACTATATCTTCACCAAGCATCTTTAAAAAACCATCACTTTCTTTGTTACCAAAGAATATAATGTCATAATGCTCTGGTTTCGTTTTTGGTGGTTTTTGTTCTAACTGGTACTGTGTGAGCCTTTCTCGGATATCAATTCCATTTACTATCCAAGCAGAATTTTTTCCACCAATGATTGTTTCTACCGCATCATATTCTTCTTCTTCTTCAATCTCACAGTAATAATCACTTTTTTGTGAATGTTCAATTATAAATGGATTTGGTAGAGGTTTTTTAGAGACATATCTTTCCGTGACTTCATAATTATCTTCCAGTGGTAGTGTTTCTGTTCTTACGACCGCCTCTGGTGTAGCACTAGATAAATAAAAAAAACAAAATTATACATAACTAGAGTAACGACGAGCAGCGGGCGATAACCCACCACCATACTTAAAAACACTTACCTAGCGATGTCAGCTTTACTAATTTTTTTGCTTCTTTTACTTATCTTCTCGTTAAAAGACATTTTTTTTTTAATATTATTAATTGGTGAAACTTTGGGATATTCGATTAATAATAATAAATCTAACTAATGTCATGATCAGTCACAGGACATTTCCCGCCGATCTATAGGAGGTTGTAAAACATAGTAAAATTTGGATGATCTGCATCATAGTAAAATTCGAATTTACATAGTAAAATTTTATAATCGAATGTCTTCACACCCTCGTTTGATACCCTTGCTGTGTAGCAACCACC